GTGCAGGGCAGTGCTGACCTTGGGAGGCGGTTGGGGAAGGAGCTGGTTATGGTTCTTCAATATGTGCTTCCTTTTTGTTTCTCTCCCCGAGACCCAGTTTGGCATCTTCTAGTGTAGAGGTGACAAAAGCCTTTCCCCACCACCTTGCATTCCTTTGGCCTGGATCCGAGTGCCATTTGGCACTCACTGCTGCAGTAGCATTTACTGAGCAGGGGACAGGCTGCAGGGGAAGGGAGGGGGGTTCCATCTGCCTTCATAGATTTTCCAGCCAGCGGTAGAGGCTGTTTCCTGAAGATTCTGTTCTTTCCGGTGATCTCGTATGTACACAAAACAGCTGCTCTGCCTGCCAGGTTTAGGTGTTTTTGTTTGGAGACACTGCAAATAATTATATGAAACAAGTGGTGAAGTAATTTGGAAGAGCCATTTCTAAAAGCTTGCTACCGAAGGTATTTTTGTAAGCTCTGTAGTTTTTTTGCTTCCTGCTTCCCTGGAGTATAAATGACTTGTCCTGCAGGTCTCTTCTGATGTGCTGTTTTCTCTTCCATGTTCCTTCTCACTCTGTCTTGTCACATCAAGTGTCCTATATTTATTGCAGCCTTTGGGGGTGGAGGGAGAAAGCTACCTCCCGTTACAAGAGCAAACTTGGCTTGATCTGGGCAGACACGGGAACTGTGCGCAGGGCGCCGCGCTGCCGCCGTGCGCCCGCCTCGCATGGAAAGCGGTGCCACACGCTCGCTCCCGTGGTGCCCAGGGCTTTCCCTGCAGCCCCCGGCGCCTCCCTGCCTGCACTTTCCTCGGGGCTGCAGCGGCCCCTTTGGGGAGGCTGCTCTTCCTTTCAGGAAATATTTGTGATGAAAGTGTGTGACTGCAGTTTGCTGATGCTACCAATTCGGCTGTGGTGAAGTCATCAATTTTGCATTCAGTGATTGAAAGAAGAAGATAGATGAAAGCCCACTGTAATCATGTTAGATAACCCAAGATGAATGTGAATGAGATTCTGCTTCTTTGGGAAGCAGGGAGCTGTGATATGCAGTGGACATATCGAATGTAGCAAACATTCGTGTGAGAGCCCAGTGTGTTAGTTTGCTTTAGATGATGTGTTACCTACCAAGCTGTCTGAACCATTCTGACTTGAAGTAATGTAATCTGCAAGTCCTTTAAGTCTCTCTTCCAAGCAGAGACAGAATGACATTAATTACATAACTATATTGCAGCATCTATAACTAAACCACTGGGTTTGACTTTAGAAATGCTTTGTGGAACAGCCACAGATGAAAATGTTCCAAGTTTCTTATTTTGCTTCCTCTTTTTCCTGCCTTCTTGCTCTCCAAAAAGGAATGAAAAAATTCTCAGTCTTGGGTAATTTAATTAAGACAAAATTGTCTGCCATGCACAACACCTGCAACACTGTTTCATACAGTTGTGGCAACATATGGTCTTCTGCTAACACATGCACACTTGGAAATAAAGTTCCCTCAGGTTTAGAGGACTGAGATGGATGACTTATACCCACGACTTTTTCTTAAATCTTGGAGAAAAACATGAGTCTTCTGGCTGAGAGCTGCTGCCTTGAGGAGCAGCCACAGGCAGGTCAGAGAGACCTGGCACATGGCAGGCAGAGCCCTGGCCCAGCTCCTAGCWGTGCAGGCAGCCGAGGCGCAGGCTGGCTCGCACGGCACGGCGCGCCTGTCCCGCAGGCTGGGTGTCTTTGGAAGCCATGGGAGCCTGTGCTAAGCAGTGGAAACTGAGGATGGAGTGTTGCAGATGTGCACCAAATCCCTGGGGATGCCTGAAGGTGGGAGCGTGATCTCTTGACACTCAATTTATTCAGAACGGACACATGGAATTTTCCTATCAGGCTGCACTGTTCAGCCAATTAAGGCTGTGCATGGGAAAGGAGGAAATAAGTGCAGCCAGCATATGCAAATTGCTGCGTATAGAAAATGCCTCAATTGGCTGTGTTTGATGTGCTGKGCATATAACTTTTGTTCTCATACGCAGCTGACGTGGAAATGGCACAGTTGCAAAAAACCTCTGCATTGAGCTGCACGTAACAAAGGGAATCTAAGCAATCTGGAGAGCGTTTTCAGACATTTTGTTTGTGGCAGCAGTCACTGCAGTCTGAAGCACGGCTCTAGCGCTTTGTTTTCTATAAATAGGCTGGCAGTAGCGCTGCTAAGCCTTGGGCTTCCTCCAGTCCTAGTAGAATTTTAATGCAGTAGTTTCTATTTCACTACTGCATGTTCCTTTGATGTAATCAGAGGCAGATCCTCTCCGTGAAGCCATCTGAAGCATAAGTTAATTTGCATTAGGATGGCAATTAAAAAGAACTCCTCTCCTCCTCCTCCTGTCCCCAATTTCCATTTTTGTGATAAAGCAGTATTTTATAGGCAGATATAGTGAGTTATATTTGGAAAGTTCTAGTCTTTTAGTGTACAGCCCAATGGATTTTAGTTGGAAGTAGCTAAATTCAAAGTCAGGATTGACCAAGGGAGCCATCTGAGCAAGTAAAGAAGACTTCAGAAATATGATTTCTCCAATAATTACATGGGAAGTCCTGTGGATTTGAAAACACAGGCCTCTCCATCAGATTTGCTAAAACTTCCTTTAAAGTTCTTGAGTAAAAAGTGCTTCTTAAAGCTTCTGGCTGCAAGAATGAACTCAGTTCAGGGATTTCAGGCATGAGGAGATGACTCTAAAGGGGTTATAAGAGGATCCTTTCTGTAGGGTGGAGCGAACTGTTGGAGCTTGCTGCCGTGGGAGGCGGCGATTCAGGTAGGCCAAAAAGCAGGGAGCTTTAAACTACAGCTGGAGTTGCGCTGCGTGCAGTTGGTAAGGAACTGCCAAACAGGAACCCCTGTCAAAATGAGTGTGAAACTGGGCACTGAAGCTGTCTTATATGTCCCAGGTACTCTTATAGATCCTGAAGCTCTATCATGCGTTCTAGGCAATAGTGAGTAGGTTTTCTGTATTTGACATTATTGCCTTTCAGTAGGAATTCCAGGGTCAGATTGTTAGAAATTAAATGTCAGTATTAATGAGTGTTCTCTATCTTCTCTCTCTAGTTTTATCTACTGATTTTATGCTTCTTTCATGAAACTACTTGAGTAGCTCGGGGAAGGTTTTTCCTGTTTTTTTTTTTTCTCCTCTCATCTGTTTTCTTTTGCTCTTTTTTTTTTTTCTGAATATGTTTCTGGGTATGCTATCAAAAGTAGGAAGGATAGGTACTATGTAAAATACCTGGACTTTCCATCAGCTATGGATTCAAAGGTCCAAATGAGGATTTTAACTTCTGGTTTACAAGGCTTTGCTCTTYGCTTTTTATTTCTTTGTTGTCTTCACTGCTTTGCTCTGTTTTTCTGGTTTGTGACAAATTTGCCAACATATAACTACTTGGAGAAAGCTTTTTTACCTTTGATTTCTTTCTAGGGGTCTTAGTGCATTTATACAAGCCTGTCCTCCCCAAGAAAAGTTCATGTTTCTCTATGCATTGGTGAAAGCACAAAAGTTGTATGCATTTAAAACCTTTTACTCTCGTTCCACTTAACATTTTTACAGTTGGAGCAAATGGGGGCGGGCGATAATTGCTAGAACTGTACAGTTACATAACTAAAAGCTTTTCTGCGAGGAGTTAGGAGAGCAGATTGGTTTGGCCATCAATACGTGAAGTGTTTTTCATCATCCCACAGTGTCCATGCAGAAGAGTACAGTCAAACATAGTTATTAGCTTGGTAGATTTCTGGGTTCAAGAAAACCATGATCTTTTTTTTTTCCCCTATAGGGCATATTTTTTTCTAGAGAAATAGCTTTATATTACTTAGAATATTATTTATTTTGCATAATTAATGGCAGTTATTCATCTTAGCTATAAATCACAGCTGCTGATGGCTTTCAGCATGAAGACTGTCATCTAAAACTCATGGAAGTTAAAGGAAGAGAAGATTATGTAAAATAATAGTGATGATTACTCAAGTATATGTGATTTTGAGGGCAAATACCCTGTTGCTATCATGGGAAGATTCTCAGCTAGCCAGTATTCATGAATTGTGTTAATAGTTTCACATAAATATGCATGACAGCAGTGACTGTAAGATGAATGTTTTTAGCGACATTTTACTGTTTTTAGGTTCGGTATGCTGTGGCAATATGATAGTAATCCTATTTTTACAGTGTACATGTGAAGAAAAAATGTGATTTAACTTTTTGTTTTCCTAAAAGGAATTAATAAGRGATTAAATAAGAGGTGAGATTGCAGGGCTGCAGGGTGAGGATACGGTTCTCTAGCCCTTTATTTATTCAGTTTCTTCATAATTCTCACCCCTGGCTGCCCATCATCATTGCCTGCCATGGTTGTACAGACTCACTGYTTTTAGACAAGTAGCTTGTTGGGTTGTCTTCACTGAGATAAAACACATCTCTGTGGTATGGGATAAAGGTTAAAGCATGAAAATTGGCATTCTTCTGTGTCAGTTGTGCTTAGAGAAAGCAAGCAAGCCACGTCTCTATCCATTTTTTTCAAGCCTCGATGAGACTGGAAGTCAGAACTTTGTCACTTTGGCCAGCAGCTCATGTGGAACTGGCACCCTGGGCTTTCTGTGAAAGGCCTCACAGAGTTTGTCTGGGTTTGAGAATGGGACCAAAGGAAGAAGAGATGTTGCTTCAAGATTTTTGATTTGTTATCTTATGATTGCCAAGGTTATGTGCCCAGAGGGCAGTGGGAGGAATGAATAGATATCTGTAAAAATAAACATTGGTCAGATTTGCCTAACAGCTCTCCTTTAATTAGCTGGTAGTCTTTTACCTACAAATATGGATGCACATCATAGGAAAAAAAAAAAACAGCTTCTGAACAGCTTCCAGCCCTTGCTGATCATTTAACTAGAGGGTGAGACACAAAATTGTCAAAATGCATTTCTTATGAAAGCGAGCGACTTTGGAAAGCATGTGCCTGCGATGGTCTTAGCATAGTGAAACTGAACATTGCTCTTTATTTCTTCTAGTTTGTGGAGACATCCATGGACAATTCTTTGACTTGATGAAACTGTTTGAAGTGGGAGGTTCTCCTGCCAACACGCGGTATCTCTTCCTGGGGGACTATGTGGACAGAGGGTACTTCAGCATTGAAGTAAGTTCCTTTTTTCTCTTTTTGGCTGTGAAACTGCTTGCAGCCTATTATGTGTGTTAAACAGTATAGTTTAACCAGCTCAGGGTTACCTAAAGTCTTTGTGGATACCACTGTGAACAAAAGAAGTCCATGTTAAAGGTCACTGTTGGGTTTTTCATAAAGGCTGTGTGGTATCCAGCCAAATGCCACTGTGCCTCTGTGCAGGAGAGCTGCACAGCTTAGTTCTAGTGACCATCCAGAGAGCTATGAGCTTAAAGGGAAGAGACTTGAGCTTTTAGGAAAGAGATGGGCAAAAAGGTTGACAAGACAGGTTAGTCTGACTGTCTTGTGGGAAGGAAATCTAAGCAAAATGGAAAAGCCAAGCCCATAATTCCAGTGCTCACAAAACAAACTGGATTTTTTTCTCCATTCTGCTGTGCTGCTCAACTTTGCAAGCTCACAGGCGAGGTCCATGATAGGCAAAGAAAACCAGTTTTGTTCAGCCAGGTTCACAGCTGAGCTAGTCACTGAACACTCAAACTTTTTTGCAGCAGCTGAGCTACAGCTTAACTCTTTTTCTCTGAAAAGTTCCAGCTGTAACTCTTTGACCTCAGGGAGAAAGCCAGTATCTATTAGAATAGATCCTATGAGAGGAGGTTGTGTATGTGTGACTAGCTAACTCAGGCAGTGTAGAAGAACACGTGCCCTCCTGCCCTTTTAGATACAACACTGAAGGCAGGCCATGGCACCTTAGTACATTGTTGTCATACGGTGCAGGATATGTAGTCATAAACAGCTGGCTACTTGTAATGTGTTTTTTGAAATGGATTACTGCATTATCCTGGCAATTTTATGTTCATGCATAAAGAGAAAGTCCTTGTTTTTATGGTTCTATAAAATCACTTACGATTTTTTTGGTTCATTTTAAAATGTATTTTAAAATGAACGTTCAGGAAGTGGCACATTCTTGAAGCTCAAATCTTAAAACGTTTGAGGCTTATCTTGTCCATCTGTTGTAAATCATGCTTAGACCAGTCTCATAGTTAATCTAGTTGGGATTAAGTTTCTTGGAGCCCCACCAAGACAACCCCATGTTGAAGCCTTTCCTCGTGCCACGTGTGGTTGCTCTCTCCCTTGCCTGATCGGTGCTGAGCAGGGAGCTGGAAGCTTTTTGTCTTGGGGAAGCCTGGAGTTTGGCCATGTGGGCTTGACCTCTTGTGCTGCTGAATGCTGAAATGCTATTTCACTTGTGATAGACCAGCTCGTATCTCCTCCAGACCTGGATTGAGGCAATGTCCTAGCAGGAACTTCACTTCTTCACTTCTATATGTGCTGTCGTAGAGTGCACATAKAGAGCAAGTGGTTTTACTTCAGCTTGAAAGTGTGTGCCTGAATTTACCATAATTTACTCCAGGGCTACTGCTGATTAAAGAATTCAAGTTATATAACAAAAAAATGAAATAACTTGTTTGTGTTAAAAGGGGAGCAGAGCAAATAAATCCCTTCAAGTTACTCATTTAATAATCTACACATGTATATTTAGTAAATGATGTTCTGCCATTAGGTTTTCCAGCATTTTTCACTGAAGCACTGCTGGCATCTGTCAGCACAAAAGAAGGATCAAAATTGTGATTTCCTTAATCCCTTTTTGTATTTAAGACTCAAATTATTGCATCTTTGGTCACATAACTGATTGTCCCCGCCCATGACCACGACGAAGGACTGCCTTTAAATAGAAACAGGCTTCTGTTTTAGAAGAGTTTGGAGTAAGAGTTGTGCACTTGGGTATAAGCTACTTACTCTGCCTAGCGTAGGAAGTAGTGCCAAGGAAGGGGTATGGGTGAGGATGCCATTTGGCAGCTTGTGGGGCTGCTGCTGGTGGCGGAAGGAGTCCCGAGTCTGGCCAGCAGGCACCAGCTCTGCCTGTGCTTTGAGCCTGTTTAGAAGGCAGGGGCTAAACTCACCTTGTCTCGGTGCATATTCTCCTGCTTCAGTTGCCTCGAGTCCTTGTTAACTGCGTATCTGCTGCGCTCCCCTTTCTGCCCATACAGACATTGCAGCACTGGGATCTTTCCAAGAGAGCAGGTTAAGCAGGTGGTCCAAGGGATTAATCACCAGTAACAAAAGCTTTAAAAAGTCCCTTCAATTGGTGTGTGTGATGCTATCTAGTGTAAAACTGACACCATTGAGCCTCAACCAAGCTGAATGCTGACAGTGGGCGAGATAATCCTGTCTGTGGGCTGAAAAGCATTTGGGATTCTTCTGGATGAAAGCTAATATATAATGTAAGCTATTATCATTAAGATCAGAAGAAGAAGAAATTGCATAAGGTAGGTGGAAGGCATTTGGTAATGCAGAGGGGAAAAGAGAAGTGTTTGTGTAAAGCACTCAGTAGAAATGACAGCCCTTGCCCTGTAAAGCATCTAGAGGCTCACACATGTGCCGTGTTTCACCAATTGGAGTTAATTACAGAGCTTGGATGGAGTGAGTTTTATGGCTTTAAGATGGGGTCTAAATAAGGCGTTGCAGGATCAGAGATTGCTGAGGCAGGTGGAACTGAAGAGCTGGATCCGTATCTCCCAGGCACGCTCCCATTTCCATTTGACCATTAGGCATTAGGAGCCCGAGCCTTTTCTCCTGTAGAAGAGCAGTCTTGTGCAGGTGCCGGGTCTGGCAGAGTGCACTCGTTTCCTGCCCTCGGTGACTGGTAACGTTGCCCTGCTGTGCTTGTCCTGGGGCTTGGACTCCACAGCAGTCTCTGAGCTCTCACTTGGAAACAAGCTGACAGCCATGGATAAAAGGACCCCAAAGATCAAACCAGAGGGTTTTTGAAAAATCCAAGGGATAGTTAGTGCATAAGTGATTCTGCAGAAAAAGGTTCTGAGAAAGAATGGTGCATGTGAGTCTGAAAACTCTACAGAGTGAGGTCTAAAAGCCCTGTGGTGGAGAGGAGTGTACTTAGACTGTTTTTCAGCAAATTATTTGAAAAATGACATAGTAAAAATCAAGTGTAATATTATACCAATGAACTCTTGGAATTTTCCTGTGCATCCGATACAGGTTTAAACATACAGGTTTAAATAAAATTGTACATTACAAGGTTYGTCTTGGTCATTTTTGACCGAGCAGATAGTTAAGATATTGCATATTAGGCCAAAAATCAAACCACACAAAACAAGTGTTGTGTTTGGAGCTTCAAAACATGTATGCTTGTTTATTTCCCCAAATGCAAATATTGAAATTCCAGAAGAAGAAAAAGTTTTCATGATATTTTTCTAGCAAGAACCAAGTGAGATGTTTGGACAGAGTCTGAACATCAGGAATTAGTTTATCAGACCCAGAAGCTGCTGCTTTTCTGTGAACTTCTAGAAATTATTACCTAGTTTCTCCCAAGAAAGCAAGTGCACATGGTAAATCTTGTTAGTAAACCGTGGGTGAGGCAAATGCTGGTTAAGTTGTTTTCATCATCTCCCAAGTCCATGTGCATTTCCTAGACCTCTGCTGGAAGAAGAAACCCCATCCAGTTTTCTCCATTCTGCAATGTGTTCATGCTTTCAGTAAACAGCTTGATTTAAAATATCTTTGGCTAGGGGGAGGAGTTTACTGGCAGAGTCTATTACTTTCCTCTGTTCTTGCAGAGAATACTAATATTTTCATTATCCTAAATTTCCTTGCCCTTCTCTTTTATCTGGCAATAGCAGATATGTCTCCCTGTATCAACAATTCGTGTGTTGTAAGATCTCTGTTTCTGCTGGGGATGCTTCTCAGAGCCGGAATATTCCCTAGTTTCTCTGCCCCTCGAGCATGCCAAAATCTCGGTCAGGATGCAGGCAGAGGCCGCAGGCCAGTGCGCAGAGGTGACCTGCACCGCTTGCCCCCATTGCTCCCTTCCTGCTCTGCGGGACCYGCTTGCGCAGCTGGTGCAGGGCGCAAGGACCGGTGAGGAGAGCCAGGAACTGGCCCTTAGACAGCACTGTCTGAAGTGCTAGCAAGGAGGGGGAATGCAGGAAAAAAAAAATACTACTTAAGTTTAGGTTTAAATTGAGATGCTCCCAAAGGCTGAAATCGGAGTAATGTGACAGAGCCCTAGTAAAGAAAATAGGGCAAGTAGTAATGTTTCATATCTGATGTTTTTAAATGAAGTCATTTGGGAGACGAGCTAGAAGAGTGTTTCAACAGTTAAAGTCTAGAGTTGAAATACCACTATGCAAGTGTCAAAAACAGGCCCTAAAGCAGCTTGGGAATATTCAACAGATTATTTTTTTTAAATGTGATTCTGGGATAACATGAAGAACAGCTACTCCACAAAAAGTTGATTTTCACAGAGTAGGCATTTTGGTTTTGAATCTATAACCTCTACATCCATGGGCACTGGTTTTAAAAACACACAGAATAGGTAAAGCAGAAGCACAGTAGCAAGAAGTCTGCTGAACCGTAAGTTGTTAGGGAAGAAACTCTGGTTGCTCCAARTGCTGCCTTATCTCTGTTATGCAGTAGAGCCTAAAATGAGGAGGGTTTTCTTCAATCCGTGAAAGCTGGCAACTGCAGCATGAAAGCCTGGCTGCAGTGAAGGTGATACAAAAAATATATATGTGTGTGTATGTGTATTTTAACCTAACTGTGAGTTATATCTGCAGTTTTCTTTCCTTGTGCTCTTGTGCTCAAAGGATGGTAGCTTAGGAATGGCAGGAATTTGCAGTGCTTGTAATTATTTTGGTTACAAATGAGGTGTATCTTTATTTGTTCCTGAACTAAAAGGCATAATAAATATTCATGCCAGGAGTGTGAGTGCAGTTAAATGTGTAAAGATGCATAGTTTCCGTTGGACTAGTTGCTCCCCTTCAGGGAGCTGCATTTCTGTGAGGTGCTGCGATAGCATAATTATTTCAGTGCAGCTAAAGGTAGTGTGGTTCTTAGATTTGGGCAAGGTCTGGATTAGTTGTTGCATGGATAAACCCTGGTAAGATACTATGCCCTAGCTTGCAAAGCACCTGCAGTGCCTGGCGGCTCAAAGGATCCCTTGCAGGATGAAAGGTGACTCTGCTCAGCAGTCACAAAACCAAGAGCAGGTGAAAGAGAGCACCGTGTTGCAGGCATTGCTATGGGTGCCAACACAGTCCTGCAATTGCACATAACTTGAGGTGTGTGCAGGAGGTCTGGGGGTTTGAACTTCCCTTGCAGAAGGTGTGCCACAGGTTCAAATAGTAGGAAAGCTCAGTTAAACCCTAGTCAGTCTGGACACTACATGGCTTTGGCTTATGAGGTACTTAATTTCCTAGGGCATTTTTCCTCATGGTGCTGATACCTGGAGCCTCAGCAGGAAAACAGCCTGTGGGAGCTGGGAGGTAGTTCAGCTCTTTACTTGGAAACCTATCATAGCTGCCAGTTGGGTGACACAGGCACCAAGCACGTAAGCTGGTGATGCAGCACCATGAGGTCAATACCAAGAAGGAAGAAATGAGACAGGCCAAAAATAACCTCAGGGGAGCCTAAATTATAAGGTCACTGCTGCGCATTTTTGAAGGGTCAAAGCAAAGAGAAGGAATAATGATATCTGGATGGAAAAACATGAAGGAAGATAAAAAGGAGGCTTTTAAATCTTGCTATTGGGAAGTAGCATTACTAAATAATCAGAGATTGTATGCCCACATTTATCACACAGCTAAATGATGATAGGAATATTCACTTTGATTTAAAAAACAAAAAATGAAAAAGCAAACAAACATTATATAAAGCATAGTTAAAATATAAAGCCGGAATGTCTTAGTTCATATGGAAAGAAAGTGATTTGCTAATTAGTTCTTGTCAACCAGTATGATATTATATCACTTATTTTTGAGCAGAAAAAGAGGAAGAAAAAAAATAAAAAAAAAGAAAGCCTTAAATATGTTTCCATGTAAGCAGCGTTTGGATGATGGGCTTGCAATGCTTGCATGATGGCACGGGAGCACAGAACTCTGGGCTGCAGTGATCCTGGGACCAGCTTCTCTATTACCTTGTCTCTATCTGGTTCTCATGAATCCTTCAAAGGGAGCGTAAGGGAGAAAAACAAGTGAATATAAGGTGATGCACCCATAAGGGAGAACCTAGCACCAATATGATGAAACTTAGAGGTTTTCCTCATTTTTCCCCAATCTGGACAATATTATATATAACAGTCTAAATGCTTCTTTCCACCCTGCCAAGGTTGGGAAAAAAAATGAAAGTGGTAAAAATCTTAGTTGCCAAAATCTTAAACCAGTCCTTCCCTCCCCTCCCCCCCCCCATAAAGCACTTCATCTAAGCACTTATCATTACGCCTTTTGAAATTGTAAGGTGATTTGACAGGAGTAGAAGCCCTGGGGTAACTTAAATTCAGCTTTAGAAGCTGGAACTCCTCTCGCATGAGCGGAGGTGTCACTGGAAACTTCTTGTCTCACAACGTTTGCATCAAGTTCTGTGTGAAGCAGTAGATTCAGGGAAGCTGAAGGTGCCGGCAGCACTGGGAAGAATGATGAAGCAAAGAAGTTGTCCCCAAACTCAGAGTTTCAGTGCTATGGTGCTGAGAAGCCTAAGCCGCCTCCTCTGTTCAAGTGAAATGCTCAAAGCCCAGTCAAGGTCATGCCAGCACAGACTGCACAAAACCTTCCCTGGGCACCTCTTGTTGCAGGCTTGGGCTGAAGCAGATATTCCTGTGTCGTAGGGATCTGCTTCAGGCTGCATTACGGCAGGGCAGTTCCCCTGGCACCTCGCACCTCTTTTCCTGTCTCCAGGGCAGCTCTGCTTAGGAGGCCAAGGCAGCAGCTCAGAGGCTGCTGTGATTCCAAGCGACAGGACTAGCTTGCCAGGTCCTGCAGGCCGCCCTACCCTTCACTTCTGCTCTGTTCTGCTGCCTCCAAACCCTTACAACAGGGGAACAGCAATCCCAGAGTGCAGACAGACCATCCAGATGTTTGCGTGCAATACATTCAAGAGAAACTGTGGCACTGTAAAGCGCCTGCTGACTTGTAATTAGCCGCAGCAAGTCTAAGTTTTAGCTTGAGCAAAAGAGGGTTGCTTTTTTTCTTAAAGATGAGGATCACTGAACGAATGAAGAAGCAAATAAACGGTTAAAATGCGACTAACAGAAATGTTGCATTTCTTCTCTTTAGCAAGAAGTTCTGAACTGTAGAAGGAAATTCATTACTATACGTGTTTAGCAGAATTAAATGGATTATGGTGGTTTTGCTCTAAACAGAACTGCTAGTATTAAGAATGTTCTGGGACTCCTAGCCTAGCTATTGATTATTAAAATAAATAAAGCAGTGACTGAATTGGGTCATTGAGGAAGGAGTTGCATGTGTACGTGTTAAAACTGGATGTCTTTTTTTCTTGGGTAACAGGTCACGTACATGTAAGAAAGAAAGAGGCCAGGGAGCAAATGTTCAGAACAGTTTTCTAGCTCACTTTTTCTGTCATCCTGTGGACCTTGCATTTCTGCACTAAAAGATGAGATGAGCCTATCAGCTTGGCAGCAATAGGGAGGCTGAGCCTGCAAAGTGAGCCCACCCTTCTCACACAGTATCTTATGCAAGTATCTGACTTGAGGTGAYGTGACTTTGTTAGCCAAGTGCCTGACTAGCGGGGTCCTGGATAAATGATGACTATTCTTTCAATTTTGCTCATTTGTCAAGAGTCTCCTAATGCTTTTGGCATCATTGCTGTATGAGTGCAATTTTCAAAAGAAATTTTAAAATCAGAAGGCCTCGAGATCTGGGCAGAGGTTAGCCCCGATATTTTTCTCTTTAATGAACATGTTTGAAAAGAAATACAATCTCAAACACAAATCTGCTTGAAAGGCAAAAGGCTCTGCAGCAGCTTTGTAGTTACTCCATTTAATAGGAGAGGTTTGTGGAATTCTCCTCTGTTGTTTGTACAAAAAAAAAGTAAAATGAACAGTAGACGTGTTCACTGCAGATATGCACGTAAAAGGTTCAGTGGTATCGGAAGCTGCAGGATAGGGTGAAGTATAAGTTAAATAGTTCGAGGGCAGCCTTTTCTTTAGGTGAGGTATTGCAGCTGTTGGGCTGGAAGCGTTTGCAGCGGGCATTGCTGTGCGCCCTGGCGGGCGCGGTGCAGGGCGGTGAGCAGCAGTGCTGCTGGCAGCTGGCACAGCTGAACATGGGGCAGGAGTGAACATGGAAATGCCACGTAGCCCAAGGCAAAACTTGAATCAAGTAGGTTAATCCTGGTTTCCACCAGTGCAGGTTAAACTGCAGGGAAATGCTTGCCTGTAGTTAATTTTAGGAATGATGGTAAAATCTTGTTGCACGCAACACTTTCTTCTTTCTGTTGACATAAGTAATTGAATTATATAACTGTTTCTTCTTTTTCTTTACAGTGTGTGCTGTATCTCTGGGCCTTGAAAATCCTTTACCCCAAAACACTGTTTTTACTTCGTGGGAATCATGAATGTAGACATTTAACAGAGTATTTCACATTTAAGCAAGAATGTAAGTCTACTTTTTCTTTTGTCCTAACTCCCCTTTCAGTATCTCAGGATGGTTGTTTAGTATTTGCCCGTAGCTTCCAGTACTTTGGATTTTGCCATGTCACAGCTGTGGCTCCCGGAGGCTGAGGGGCTTGCGGGGATGCAGGGGCCAGGAGGCAGGGAACACTGGGAAGCAGCGCTGGAGAGCTGCTGGGCCCCTGCGTGCCCGAGCTGRCCGGGCGGCACCGCAGGCCGCTGCAGTTGGCTTGAATTTGTCCATGCGCTCTTCCTGGCGGGAAAGGAGACGGTGACACAGAAAAGCTCCTTAGATGTAAACCTTGGCTTGCAAATTAAAAAAAAAAAAAACTGTGTTACTGTAAACTGCCACTATTGCCATGACTCTCTGTTCCCTTCTTAGCATCAGGGATAAAGGAAATGTTAATTGGCTCCAAGGCTTCATGGTTTACTGACTTTAATAAGTGTATTGGTAAATTAACATTTCAGCTTTATTGGGCCACCTCTTTCAATTCATAATGGCATTTCTGTAGATTATTAATTATAAGGGAGTGGGTTAAAGTTCTGATTACTTTTAGAGAGCTTTCTTTGAGCTGTAATGAAGCAGATGATAGCCGTTTAACAGACTTTTTAAGGCTTACTATGTACATTTCATAGAAGACTATAATGGTATGTTATTTAACTTATTTTGGAATCAATATAATAAATCTTGCTTTTTTGTTACTAGTAGTAATTTGGTAAGAACTAGTAGCAATAATTTGGTAAGAACTAGTAGCAGTAATTTGGTAAGAACTAGTGATTTTTATTACTTAAAATCTGAATATTTTTTCCACAAGTAAGTAATGATTTTAAAGAATGTTTTCAATGAAAGAAGCTTTCGTACAGTCTACAGCACAAGAGAAAGTTGGCGAGCTGGCTCAGGATAGTAAGCCCCATCTAATTATTTTTTTCCTCTTCTCAAATACTTTCTGGTATCATCTTCATCTTTGAAAGGTAAAATCAAGTATTCAGAACGAGTGTATGATGCCTGCATGGATGCCTTTGACTGCCTTCCCCTGGCTGCGCTGATGAACCAGCAGTTCCTGTGTGTGCACGGTGGCTTGTCTCCAGAGATCAACACCTTAGATGACATCAGAAAAGTAAGTCTGAATAGTGCTGCGGTCTAAGGGAGCAGTTAATCACCAACAGCTACAACCTGAATCTGTCACTGCTGTTCTTCTGCAGAAGATGCTTTTATGCCATTTGACATTCATGATGACATTATCACCTTTTAAAGGTCTTTCAGAATCAGAGAACATAAAAGGAAATGCTGTGATTAGTCATATTTTGTTGAGGAGAGGAGATTATCAGCATATAATGAAACACAGAATTAGCATCTTTGCACATGGGGAGGGAAATGCATTAGGTAAATGAGTATTTAGGAGCAAATGAGTCTAAAGTTAATTTCTTGCTATATATTTTAGTACATGGTGAACAAACTTTCTAATAATTCCTTATGCACATTTTCGAAGAGGAAAAAAAAATAAAAACTCTACAAAACCTCATACTACTTGAACATAAAATAAAAAAAGAAAAATATGATGCACTCAGTGTGATTCAAATAACAATACTATTTGAAAAAGAGTTAAGAGCTTCATTCTCAGTAGGTTCTGCCACATTTTTAATGATACAACACTTKTGTGTCCAAGTTGTTTAAGTGAGGCTTCATAGCTTAATACCCAAAGCTAACACTTGTGGTCTGAAAACGTTTTTTACAAATCTCATAATGGTTCAGAGTTCATTGTCAAACAAGTTTTCTCATATAATCCAGTACTGCTGCACATTATCATGTTTTTTTCAAAAATCTTGGTTAAATAAAGATTTCTGATATTTCTAAAATGAGGCATTTAACTATTCATGCTTACTGTTTCTAGCAGTAAAGATTTTCATTTTCCACTTACGGTTTGAAATTTTTAAATATGGATCTGCATTTACCTTGAGCTTTAAGGTTACTGAAAAATAAATTATGTTGAGATAAATGTGTTTAAAAATGGTTAAAAAATAATGACATGTTATGGTTTAAAAGCAATTAGAGAAAGATATTATATACACTTTAACTGCTGAATGTAAAGTTTTGTTTGTGAGGTGAAGGTTCTTCATTAAACTAAAGTCTTTCATTAAACTAAAATATTCTCTGCCTAAAAATTAGCTGGGGTTGCAACAACATAATGGCAGATTAAAATTTTTAGCACTCTGATTCTAGATTAGGGTCGTTAACATCTTTGCCTTTTTTTTGTCTGCTAGCAGATTTATTCATCTTTGGCAATCAACAGGGAAGTGGTTTGCATATTCATGAATTGTTGTTATTTAATTGAGATGGATTATAGTTATAAAAGCATGAATTATTTAAAGGACTGAAATAAGTTAGAAGTGTAGGTAGGCTATGAATATTTTATGACAAAAATGCCAAGTTAAAATTGTAGAGGTCTGTTACTAAAACTTTTTAATTGAGTGCTGAAAACATGCAAAATCACTTCTTTCTGCTGGAATTTTAGCTTAAACAGTGTGCAACTGAATCATTACTTGAGCTTCCTGGTCAGAGCAGAAAAGGTGATAGACTGCCAGCCTCATTCATATGCCCATCTTACCAATTTTCTATACTAAAGGGTTCTTGCGGAGAAATCCTGATAGTAATATTCCCAAGTTTGTTATGTTGTATCTTGTTTGCAGTATGATCCTTTATAATTTGAATTTTTTAATATCAGTGATCAGCTATAGATAGAGGAATTCTTTGATGTTCAAATAGTTAAGGTTGCAGTTTTGGAGAGCAGCAAGATTTTCATAGTAAGATGCAGAGATGCTGCCTCCTTTGTTAAATTTAGAGACCTATAATTGAATGAAAATGAGAATTTTGCTTCGAATTAAGTATTGCATTTTTCCTAAAATCTCTTGCTCCATTAATCGAATGCCACTATGCCTGACAAATAGTGAAATACAGAAATGTCTTCCTTCTCTTGTTTTCCATACAGATGCTTAAAAAATATTTTAAAAAGGAAAAAACTTGCAGACAAATTTGCACAGAGTGGGCATTGACAGTATTCCTTCAGTTGCAGATATATCTATTCCTGTCAGTGTTAGCGAGGATTGTGTAACTGTTACTCTAAATCCAGTGCTCTGGAGCTGAGAGCAGCCCACAGCAGAAATAGAGCATGGCTTGGTCTGGGCTTAGCAGCCCACGGTAGTGAAAGCAGCAGCTTTTGCTTCTGTGTTTCTATGGGACGTAGTTGAAAGAAGTTAGTATTTCTTTCTCTCCTATTTTTCTTAGTTAGATCGATTCAAGGAACCACCTGCATATGGACCCATGTGTGACATCCTGTGGTCAGACCCATTAGAGGACTTTGGAAATGAGAAGACTCAGGAACACTTTACTCACAACACAGTCCGGGGCTGCTCGTACTTCTACAGGTGAGCATGGCTCCTCGGGCGGAGGGCTGCTCTGGGCACCCACGAGTTCTGCTGGGCCCGGACCCGTGTGCGCCTGGGCCCAGGGCGCTCCTCTCCGCTGGCTTTGCTGCCTTTTGCCTTCTCCTCGCAACCTGGAAACCCAAGAGGACTTGATTTGATTCACACCCAAGCCTATATATTTTGTTTATCCCTAATCTTGCAAGTTAGGGAGTAAACATGGCCCTTTCAAAAGAGAAAGTGTAATTGAATTTCTAGTTTAAGAATTTTAATTTTGAATTAAAGACTAGTATTGGAAAACTCTGTTTTTTTTTCTGCTGGGCAGCAAGAATTGTGAAAGACTCTGCTAAAAGCCAGGTGGGCATCTAAGAGATCTGTGATGGATCTTAAATCTCTGTGGCTGTTCTGAAAGGCAGATGTTTAATTTACTCAAACTTCATGAGCAGAAAGCAAACTGAAATGCAAGTGTGATTTCCCCACATGTACAGACTTCTTTTTTTCCAAGATTTGTCAAACTTTTGCTCATGTCTGATTGGTTCTTTCTAAGAAATTTAAGATTTGAATGGTATTGGTTAAAAGGGAGTTGGTAAGGGCTGAAGTGAGGATAGTGACCAGGAGATGAGACCACCAGCCATGGCCTCTGTATTAGTAATGTTAGCAGAAAGGTGGTGGGTGGCTTGACGTGAAGCAATGAGTTTTCCTGGGCCTTTCTTTCAGCAGTAATTGCTCCAGCATGGCAGGGAGGGGAGCCAAGGCGCGGGCGCTGCAGCCCGCGCTGGCAGCGCTCAGCCCTTGCCAGCAGGAGGGCAGCCGCCTGCGGTGGGTGGCGCGGTGAGTGCTCCGCGAGTGTGCTGGGTCCCGTTGGGAGAGCAAGAGTCCAGCTGTTGCCAACGACTGATCTATGCAGAAATGGCCTGAAAACTGGGAGGGCTAAAATCCTTCCTTCTCTTTCAAATAACCCCAAACCCTGTGTCGGGAGCATGCCCAGGGCTCCCAGGCACCCATCACTGCAAGCACTGAGTGGCAGTGGCGGCACGAGCCGCTCTGAGTGTGGAACACACTGGGGGCTGGACACCTAGGTACGAGGCTGCTTGCACACTACATGAGCCTGTGGATTTTAAGGGAAGAAAGAAATATGTCATCTAACTGTCAGGTAATAAATCAGGGAAGTAAAACTGTCTGATGATGCTAGCAGATCAGTGACTTAGAGTCACGTTCAGCTAAGACTGTGTAAAAGCAAATGTTGCTCTTAAAGCAAATATCTAATTGCTTTCGAAGTTCACTAATCTGCTTGCCTTAATAATCCCTGGCAGTAAATTCCCCATGCTGTGTGAAGCATCTGACTTTGTCTTCCTTGTCTAGTTTCTTCCTGAGTGAAGGGGCGAATCTCCTTAAAATGGCAAGTTCAGCTTGCAAAGAAAAAACAGCCACCCTTCAGTACAGGGTAGTGACGGAAGGGCCTTCATTTTTTCTTCATTGAACAAGAATTGTTAGTCATATCCAAAATGGAAAGTTAAAGATCAGGAGCTGTTTTATAAGAAGGTCAGAAAGATTTCAAAGAGCTCAGGAAAATGATTTTGAGATGATTAAGGTCTCTTAATTGCAGGAAATAATTGTAATAAATAATTTCCATTTTATAGGGCATGTTCACTATAATGGCAAATGAGAGCGACTTTTCTGTGACTGTTGTTTCCTACAACAAATCGCTATGAGAAAAATCACTTGAAAGATAATATGGTGTCCTGTGTACATACCACATGTTAACGGGACTTTCCAGCTCTGCATTAGGTTCTTTCTGTTCATCCAAAATTCTGTTTGTTTGTGAAATGTTAACCACTTATGAGTATGGGCTCACTATATTTGGGAAAGTATAAAGAGCTTTTCACTACACTTATTAGGTGACCACTCAGGTACGGCTTTGGGAATTTCAAACTGATCAAGCTTTTATTCCATAAATTTCCTTTGGAGGATAAGTTGTTGAAACTTTTATGGCCAGTCCTGTAAAATGTCAGTTCTTGAGATCCTATGTCCAGCTTCTTATCTGGAGCGGTAAAGAATAGATAGCTTTCTTTAAAAGGTGCTAACAGGAAGCAATTAATAAATATCTTTGAAATCCAGCAGCATTTCACAGTGTGGATTGTCAGAATCTGTAGACCCATGAAAACAGTAATAGTGTAATGCAAATGGAAAAATAGATGTGAAATTTGAGTAATCATGGTAAAATTTAAGTCCTTTGCATCTCAAAGTGAACAAGCAGTAACTGCTGTAGGAGTTTCTTTCTCTGAGATTTAAGCTTATATAACCTTTACTGTCTTGGTCATGCTATCTTGTTGCAGTTTCATGACAGTAAAAATAATGCAATAACAGTTGTGTGAATTAGTTCATTAGTATGAGCTAAGTGCAGAACTTCTCCCATCCATGCATCCATCTTCTCCCACTGGACAGAAAGCTCTGAGCAGTAGGCTGGCGCTGTGTCACATACTGCTAACCTGAGGAGACCCAGCCAGTAAGCAGACTAGGCCAGTGCTGAGGCATGGGGGAAAGCTCTGCTCTTGCAGCCCCTCTGGGATTGAGAATGACCTTGTTCCTGTAAGATTTACCAGGTGGGTGCAGAATAAAATGTTCTTTCATTGCATTCGGACAAAGTTACGATGAGCATGCCCAGTCCTACTCATGAAAATTGCAATTGGCTGTGTGCCCGGCTTGTTTAATTTCCTTTGTGCTAAAGCTCTGGTAAAGAATTTGGGGAGCTTGGTTACACTCCTGAGTTAATTAGCAGTGTCTTATCCTACGTAAAATGTATCAAGGGCTGCCTATCAGGAGTAAGCACATGTGCAAGCTTAACACTTACCTTCTGCAATCATTTATGCATATAAGACTCAATGACTGTTAACAAGAGCACAGGAGGGTTGTGAGCCTGGCCAAAGTCTAGATGGCCATACAACCTGAGCAAACACTCAGGAATTACTGCAAACTTTAAGTTTTAGCTTTTTGGGTTTTGTAAATGAGCTTAACATTGGCTCTTGAGGAATGATGAGATTTTTAGTTGACTGCATTTTCATATTTTTCAAAAGCAACAAAAAAGATGATGAGCAGTGGCACAGAGCAGCTCCCCTTGCAGACTCACAGAAAGTGCCACTCGCTGGCCTTGGAGACGGAGAGGGGAAATAATTTGGCCTTGTGGGTGCTCAGGGACTGAAGAAGAATTAGGGCCCTTCYAGCATGTCAGTTCCATGGTTTGCTCGCACTCCCAAACAGAGTGTACATAAACAATGACTGCTACCTATGTGCTGGAAAGATTTTCAGTTTAGGGGATGAGGCATAGTTATTACTTCCTGCGTATTTCACATATTTCTTAATATCTTGGGAATACGGGGTGGGGTAGTTCTGTCAAACCCTTCAAGGTATTGAATAAATTCAGAATGCCCATGCTCACAAGGTGACTCTGCTCATGCTGGGGTAGTCCGGAAGTGTAGATATGCTTTTAGATGCATTTTAGATACATTTTGTTTAAAGAATTTATTTTATGGAATTGGTAATTTTTAAAATAATCTAGTTAGTGTTGGTCAACATATTGAGTTTTATTATTGAGAGCTTAACTTCACCTACTGTTGTGTATATGGTTTATGTACACATGAACCTGTGAGACGGACTGTGCGTTGCTTGACACCTGGGAAAGGCAGCAGCAGGGTAAGATTATGTAGAACTGAAGGATTGCTGTGGGCAGCATTTTTCCAGTTATTGCTGGAAAACCAGTTTTATATGATTTTTAGCAATGTATTGCTTTTTCTTCAAAACTTAGTGGTCACGCAAGATATAGCTCAGCATTTGTAAAAATGTGTTTGAGGAATTTCTGTCAAAAAATGGTGCTGAAGTAGAGAATATCATGATCATATGCTCTGTGGAAGATAACATCTTTCTGACTTCTCAGTGGGGTATTTTGTTGTCTCTGAGTCACTGCTCTGCTGTGATTCAGCATGACACATGAAGTGCAGGCAGCAGGCAAGGCCCTTCTGGAAGGGCCTGTTGTGTGGGGGTTTCTTGTTTGTTTGTTTGTTTTCCCTCTTGGCCAAATGTTTTATTTTTGGGCAAATTGCAATCTGGATCTTGCAAAGGAAGGCAAAGAGGGGAATGTTCCTGGAAGAGGAGCAATTTGGAAAACTAGTTGGGAGTTTGCCAGAGCTGAAGTTCTTTGGTGTAGAAGTTTTCTGATAACTTTTGGCAAGACCACTGGGTTATTGGCTATTGTTTTACCTGGAGGGCTTGCTGTGATTCTGTGATTCCCAAAGAGGAGAGCTTTGGGATTTCGCTTTTTATACCTTTGGGTTTTCCTCTCCAGATTGTTGTAGGATATTCTGGAAAAGTAGGGGTGCCTGATTAGAGACATCTGTTGAAGAAGAAATTGTGCTCGAAGAGGAGCTAACTGATGTATTGTCACAGTGGTATGGCCTATATGGCAGTGGAATGTAGCTGTAAACATTGCTGCTCCCTAGGCCCTTCCTCATAAGTAGCCAAAGCAGAAAATGGAAGTAGTCTGGCCTTTTCAGAATGAAAATGCCCAGATAAAGCACTTAACAGAGTAGTGGTCTGGGTGATGTAGTCCTTGCTCATTATGAGTGCCAGTTTATTCACTTGGAGGGAGCACGTTTTTCTCAGAAAAGATGGCAGCCAGAGCGTCTGTAAATGCTTGGAGGACTATTTGACAACTCTCTTAAGTAATGGAGTCTGTGGAATCCGAGCAAGAGCCAAATTCTGCTCATAACAATCTCTTTCCTATTAATTTGACCAGTAAGAAAGTTAAGTCAAAGAATTATTTTAAAAAAAAAAAAAAAAAAAAAGAACTTTTGTACTTACCTTTGAAATGGAAAGAAGAACCTATCATGTCTATTGAGAAGCATTTTTACCACTTCATTATAACTGTTTTCAATGCAGTACTTAACACTGCATGGAAAGAATACTATGGAAAAAGTAATAGGCCAGACATTTTCAACAGCTGCACTGATAATGAACATAACTGTCTGTCAGATTTTTCATTATACATCCCAGTTTTTAGAAGTTAATGTAAAAATTCCTAAACAAAATGTACCATAAGTCTACATTTAGTCACAATTAATTATAAAAAGAAATGGATGCAAATGAGTTCTCATTTGCCAGTGGTTTGAATGGCAGCCCGTCAGCATTTGAGATGACTGCCGTTGCCAAAGCCACGCGGCACGTGATTTGGGAGGTGAAGCTGTTTTTATAATGGCAACTTTTTTTAGACAATCCCTCTGAGCAAACCTGAGCGTGAGAGCCTGCAGGACACTGGTCGTCCCTGAAACTGGCCACGTTCCTCGCCACGGGCCCTGGAGCCTCGAGCTGCTAGTGGCTGCTGAGCTTCAACATGTCCAGAAGCCCTGTAAGCAAGCAGGGACTTGGCCTTAGGGATGTGAAGGAAGATGATGCATTAGGTTCCATGCTAATACATTTTTTTTTCTGAATTTTTATCTCTCATGCATAAAGAAATAAACTCATGGGGCTGTCAAGTGGTTGCAGGAGGTTTTGGAATATGATCTGGGAAATGATGGCTGGGGCAGCTGGTCTTTTGTATAATGTTTGCCTATGATAATTTTTTTTTTTTTTTTAAATTTGGTCAGTATATTTAGCCATCATTTTTATTTAAGCAGTTTTTCTCTCCCTGTTACTGTATGATTGCATCCTGTCCCTAGCTACTGCAGAACGCTGTGTGCTCTTGCCCCAATCTTGAATAATACCAGCAGCCCCATAACGTAGTTCCTCTATGTGCATTTGGGTTGCATGCTCAGAGGCTCGGTGAGTTTGTTACGGGCACACTCGGAGTGTGTCACGCTACTTACCTGGCACAGAAGTGGTTGTGGAGACTCCTTTTTACCTTAGTGCTCCTTCCCTAACCCTTGCTGCTTTGTGTTTTCTAAAATCTGAAAGCAGGTGAATCAACAGTGGGAAATAACACGGTGGTTGGATGTTTGTGGCCATGTGCCCCAGACCCATGTGCTGGCCATGCCTCTCGGAGCCGAGGGGCTAGTGTGGCTGCCACGTTGGGCCCGACTGTGGCTGGTGGCCCCGAGCTGCCCTGGTGGGCTTGGCAGCGCAGCCGGTGCCCAGCCAGCCTCCGTGCGGCCTCGAGGAGCCTCCCCGGGCAGCGCCGCTTTGACGCAGCTCCCCTTTGGGTACCTGCCTTGAGGGGAGACCGGTGCCGGAGCTGATGGTGCCGTTGGGATCTTGTTCACCCGTTCAAGCTCTTCCGAAAGCCCTGCTCTGGCAACTGCACTGTGCTTCCAAGGGACTGGGCTGGCAAGAGCGTGGCAGGCCTGGGAAGAAAAATCAGCAGCTCAGTTCTCAGTTAAGAACTACCAGTAGAAGTAAAGATATAACCTCCTGGGGGGTGGAAACACTATATAAAATAAACGTATAGATATACAGACACGTGTTCTAGAGTACTTATGTATTGCAGACACTTGGGTTTACTTTTATTTTGGCAAGACATAGTTACATAAGGACCATGCAAGCATGCGGTGCTCGAGTCTTTACACAGTCACTCATACTTAGCAAGCTGTGGCATTAATATGCCATCAGGAGGATCCACAGAGATTTAATGAGCACCTTAATGGCTTCCTAGCATTACTGAAATATTTGAAATATACTATGGTGTGTATGCTACTAAATAATTGAAATAATTAGTTTCCTATAAATAGGAAAAAAATGCTGTGGCTTAATCTATTTTTAAATGTTAATACAATTTATTGTGCCAGTACTTGTTAAGGGTGATAGAATCTGACTCTTACTAGTGGTGTTGTAAGTACTACATGAATAAAATCTCTCTTTGTAACTGTGTAGCTAAGTACATTAGCTTAGCAGCAAAGCTAGCATGCAGAGGGCCTGAGGTTTAGTTACTTTAGTTTACTTAGTTACTTTAGTTACTTAGTTTAGTTTCCTTGAGATTTGCATTAGTTTGCATCCAATTCTTGAAATAAGTAACTCTTCGACAAAATATCATTGGCACACTTGGAGATTTTTTTGCAACTTTTCATTTTCTTACTGCATCATTTGCAAAAATAGAAGTATGCCAAGACTTGCCTCCAAAAGCATGTGAGGTTGCTAGTGAATTTCTTTTTTTTTGGTTCTTTCCTGCATCTTGCTTTTGCCGTACGCTGGCGTACGTGTCTGACAGCCTGCTCGTGGATGTGAGTTTCCCCATAAAAGCACCAGGGCTGGGAGGGAGAGTGGGGGGAAAGGGGCTGCCTCTGTGGCTCGCTGCCTGCAGGTCAGGGCTGCCCTCATGAGAGCTGTGTGTTGGCTGAAGTGTTTGAAAAGCTGGAGTTATATGTGGTGCTTCTGATAATGCCATAACAGGTGCTCTTATTTTCTCCCCCCAGTTACCCTGCGGTGTGTGAATTCCTACAGCACAATAACTTGTTATCTATACTGCGAGCCCACGAAGCCCAGGACGCTGGGTAAGTTCTGTGAGGCGAGGCAGAGGCAGCACTAGTGATGAACAGCGTGGCCTGGTGTAGAACCAGGAACGAATGAACCACTGAAAGGAACTGGGAAACTGGGAAATAGCAACAGCTATTATTTTTATTAATATTTTAAGTTATATGCTAGGCTACAGGGCTTATTGAATCTCTGCATATCCAGTTACTCAGTTTTAGTGATTTATGTGGCAGGAAATGACCACATGAGATTTAAGTGCCAGACTGACAAGGGGAAGCAAGTCCCACCCAACAAAAGAGTTTTACAGATGCCTCCAACACTGAAGTCTCGCRTGCTGATTGCCACCATTCTTGGGAAGTAATTTGGCTCATGAAGGATAGAACTGTCATCTCTTTACGTCTTTCATACCTAACTGACACTCTGGTTTTATGGTTTTATGGTTTATCAAGACAGCAGATTGTTGGAACTCAAAATGTTCAAAAACGATTTTATGATGGATTATCAGTAATAGATATAAAGAGCTGAAGAGACTGTGTGCAAAGGTGGTCCTGTGTGCAAAGGTGATCCAGTTGGGATAGTTATGATGCAACTTGCCAGAGAAAAGCTAGCATTTTAGGCCACTTTTAAAGTATTTATTCACTGAAATGCACCACTTGTGAGTTTTAGTGAAGGACAGTTATTTCAACAAATAGCTTTGCATATCTTCCTGAAGTGTTTACTTGGAGGCAGAAAATTTACCTAATTGGAAAAGTAAGAAAAGATAAAGTAACAAGATCATAGGCATGGGGTTGGTATTCAGAGTGCATATAAAAAGCTATTTTGAATATTTGAATTATCACATGCTTAAAAACCTCAATGCAATTAGAAGCAAGCTATTAGTCTGCCCAAAATAACTGGCATGAGATACCCACGGGTAATGAAATTTCAAGTTTTTCTATCATATTGCTTTCCACAAAAAGGGTGAAAAGTAAAATTCTGAAGAAGAGATTCTGAAGCACCTGGGGTGCTTCACACTTGCCTTGAGTCCCACCAGGTCCCTGTCACCTGACTCCAGAGATGGACACTGAGCTGCAGGTGGAGGTGCCCCTGTCACATCTGGTGAAATCCAGTGACATCCCCAGCTGTCCCACGGCGAGCCGCAGGGTAGATCTGCGGGCAGCGCACGCTTTCTTGCCGTGGGGTTTCCAAAACCTGGTCAAGTAATTCAGTAGGGTTTTTCCTTGCTGTAAATTAGGCTAGTGACAAATGCACATACCACACTAGACAATAACAACTTCTCTTTCCTCCAGGTATCGCATGTACAGGAAAAGCCAAACAACAGGCTTCCCTTCGCTAATCACTATTTTTTCAGCACCAAACTATCTAGATGTATACAATAACAAAGGTAAGATTAAACTTCTGTTAATGTATAGCAGACTGCATATCCCTGTACTCAACTGCGTTTCACTGTTCTTTCTCTCCTTTCTCTTCCCTTTTTTATTAGTTCATGCCTATTCAATTTATTACATATTACAAATCAAGTTTATTAGTGGCAGATATATCCCTTTGAATATAACTGTAGGTTCTAACATGCCCTAGGATATTTCTGAGTTTTGACTGCAAGTTACTAAATACCAGAAACAAAACTGAAAACAGCTCAATTAGAGAAATATTTTATGAAATGTTGTGGTTGAGAACTGTTCCTTTTAGTTAATGATTTGTTCCATTGCTTTTTCCCAGTAAAATTCAGAGGGCTTTCTTTGGGCAAGCACTAGCTAAGAAACCTGCCAATCATCAGCGGATGTGGGACAGAATCCATATTGGCAGAGTTCCTTTGTATTTTGCTTATTAGTCATTGAAAAACTATTCTATAGGGAGTAAAATAATAACATTAACAACAAAAAAAAAAAGTTTACAAATGAGCAGTGATTGGTCACTCTAAAATCTCAAATCTCACCTGAATACAGTGTGTGCAGCTTCGAGGAGTTTATTGCTGCATTCACTGAGATGTTCTCTTAATGAACTGGAAAAAAATCACAGTTCTAAAAATAAAACATTCTAATAAACCTGTCCTCCTATATGTTGAAATGAGCAGTCATCTTTACTTTCTTCTACTCCCAGTAAAACTAAAGTAATTTGTGGACAACTGTGAGAAAAGACTGTATTTTCCCTAGTGATAGCATTGAAAGTAGCCTCACTGCAAAGTGATCAATCTTTCTTGAGTGGAGACATTTTTAATTTTGATGCTTGCCTTCAGAGGAAATAAGTGTTTTGCTTGAAACTTGCACAAAGAAACTACTTGAGGCATCATTTTATATTAGAAAACTTTTGATCTAAAAGCTGCTGTGCAGCAAACTGGGGAAAGAAATAGCTCACAGGTAGATAATGGGCTCAGTATGTGTTGTTTTCAAAATGTATATTAACTTGTCAAAAAATTAGTAAAATTGTGAAAAAAAAAATCCAAGCAGAGCTGTTTATGTCAAAGTAAATAACATAGGGGTTATTCTAGCAACTCAAAAAGAGCAGGATGAAACAAGGAATATGTTAATTTTCTTGGCAACTCATTGCTCTTGGTGGAAAAAAATGTGCTTAGTTTCTGAGTTAGCTGTTTTGGGTAGAGCATAGGTCAATGAAATGTCTGTTAAGTACCGTGATTTAGAGCAGTACTTTAACTTCTCTTAATACAAAGCAGCAGTTCTGTGCACGCACTGCCAAAGGGATTTTTGTTGTAAGGCAAAGATTAGATAAAATTCACTGCTGATTTACACAATTGAAGATGTGTTTCAGTGCACAAAGTTCAGGCAGCAGCCAGACCTGCCTTTCTGATATGGCTGTTTCAGAACAGCCACTTGGCTTGTTTCATGGTTCTCAGCTGTGACAAACAGGCCTCAAACCTGGCGGGGGGACAGTCCCTTCCACTGAGGGCTCTGCACGGGTCTCTGCAAGGTGTGATTAAGTGCAGCGATGGCTGCAGTTCAGATTGACTCTGAGGATACCAGGTCTGAGGGAGCTGGGGCAAATAAGCAGTGGGGTGAGATCAGCACCACTGAGCCTCTCTTTAAAATACCAGTTCTTGAAAATGCAGAGGCTGGCCTTTAGTGGCTTCATAACACATTTTTTTCTGTTTAGTTTAACTAGCTCCTCTTTGGTTCAGAATTTTGATGCCTTGTTTCACGAGACGAAGAGCAGTGGCTCTTGGCATTTGAAGTGTATCAGGCATCTTTGCTGCTGCGCTGCTCCTGCATCCCCAGCTCAGCTGCGACTGGCTGAAGAAAAGCACCGTTATCCTCAATCCCTCGGAAGCTTGTTGGCTGCCTCGATTTGCAGCAGATAAATTGGAGCGCAAAGCTCGGGACTGATTGATTTCAGGAGGTGAAGGAAAGCTTGTCCATATTGAGATGTTACAGGAAAATTGTTCTAGCTGACTCACTCGGTGTTGGCACACAGTCTGACTTAAAACTAAATCATCAGGTCTTTTGGTTGCTACAGGTAAAAGTCCTTGGAAAGAGAGTTACTCTCCTCTAATAGGTGCCTTCCTTTACTACTATACATTTTTAGTAAGCTTCTGATTGCCACTCGGCTAATAAAATCACACCGCGTAAATTCATGAGAGGCTCCATGTCCCAGTGAGGGAAGTAATCTTCCAAGGTCATTTTTGAAGTGCATTGTATTTAAAAAAGCAGAAAGGAGCTAGGAATACTCTCTTTCTGTACATACTTCTTCGCTTCTGCAAAGCATTTGAGGCAGACAGGACTTGGTAGCTAGCTTTGAGAAGGGTTTATTCAGTCCCAGTTGGAGAGGTGTCCCTGGAATCGGATATTTTCTTAAAGAGCAGGAGAGAGGGAGCTTCCATAGAGCAAAGAGAGCTTTGGCAGTAAAAGATGAAGATAAGGGACCTGACCAAGCTCCCATTGAGCATGCATGTGGTTAATAACGCTCTTAGGGAGCCCTCGCGCAYGCTGACACGCGGCACTGTGCTGACATGGAAATCTCTCTTGGCTGCTCTCGGCTGCATTCTGGCACCACCGGCAGTTTTCTGTATCCTTTCAGTTACTGGCCATGGCCTCTTGGYGCCTGGGTGAGCAACTCACCCATCATGTGGCTCCCGGTCCTGCCGCAACCCTGGCCCCCTCAGCCGTGCTACTTTGGGTGCCAAAGTCAGGCTCTTGAATTGGGAGGCTGATGGGAGAGGGACGRTTCCCTCTTGGACGTAGTGGAGACAGAGAGAGGCTGTTTAAGGCGGTGATTTGAAGAGTCAGTAACTGGCAGGACCTGGTGTGGGTCCCTTCCCAAGGCTGCCTTCCTTGCCTGCAGTTGCAAGGGCCCTCCCTATCCATCCTAGGGAATGGCACAGGTGAAAGGGATGGATTCATACTTGCACCTCTACCAACTTCTCAGATCCTCTCCAGCATGGAGAGGGTTAAAAATCCTCATGCAGGAAAACAAATGTTTCAACTGTAGTGGTTACTGGTCGCCCTGAGAGGTGCAGGAGGCTCTCCTGGTCACAGGTCGCATGGGTGCGTGCACCTCTCTGTGGGCCCTTGGGTGCCCATCACTAGGAGAAACTCTCTAGAGCAGCACGGCAGAAGGTGCCAAAAATTACTGTATCCTGTGATGTGCTGGCTTTGTACAACGTCTAAACTTTGGCAGTATTTCAAATTTTAGTATCTTTTAATGCCTTCATTAGGGCATACTGTAATACTGCTCAGGCCACACCAAAAAATAAAGCAGGAAATTTTACAGGAGTACTGCAGCGGTGGGCAATTTCATTTGTGACTTATTGGCAATACTTAATATTTTGTGTCTGGCTGTCACTTCAGTATGTTCATGCTTTGTGGCTGAGTGAACAATTTTAACTAGCTGTCTAAAGACAGGCTATTATCTTTTGAACATTTTTAAAAGATTAAGGTTCACAGTGGTGAGATAACCACCAGAGAATCTGAAGCTATTGAAGAAAATAATGCGATGTTTCCTCTAGCGTTCTTCAAAGCGCATGTGGCRCTGTGGAAAGGAAAAGCAGCAAAGAAAATATGCAATGGGCTGGGGGATGCTAGAAGCTGCACATTGGAACAGCTCTTGGTCGTGGCAAAGAAGCAGTGCAGCAATGGAGTGCTTAGAAAATACAAGCATGTGGTGTTCCATAGGCGCCCCTTAACAGGAATGCCTAATCCCAACAGATCCAACAAGATAATTATTTTTGTGTTAGGCAGAAAGCAAAGCGTAACATGCCTAGAAGGAAACGAAACCAAACACATGTGTCTGCTACAGGAAGGATCTTTGAGAAATAATAGCACTTGGGGAGAAAGAAAAATGGCATAACCTTCTGTTTGCCCTATCAGTTTTCTTTAACACTTTATCACTGCCTCTGTAATGAGACCTTCTCAGGGAAACAAAAGGTTTTAAAGAGCAGCTGTTACTATTATCTAGGCCATCTCATTGCYAAGCCAGAGAGGTTTTGCTAGAAGTCATTTTTGTGGTGTGTTGATAAAATCCGGAGCGCTCTCCCACTGTTTCTTTTGAAGATACAATAGTACATCTAAAATAAACATCCCCATAATTCTTTAAAGGGTGGTTTTCCTACTGTAATTGGCAGTGCTTTTGTGTTCTGTTATTTGCATCATTACCTTATACAGTAAGTCATTTTTCCCTTTGATAATGTTTAAACTCCTTAAGCATTTTTACTAAGCCTTATCCCTGACCTGTCTCCGTCAAAAAAACCCTGTGGTTACTTAGCAACTCCGCTGGAGGAGAGCACGCTGTTCCCAGCCGCACAGTTAATGCTTGAGTTAATTTGGCATTAAATCAGAGACTGAAATTCTTCATTACATGAAGAATTTGAGACCTTTCCCTAAGTACTGTGTTTGCTTCCTAAAATCAGGGTGAGCTTTCTGAAAATTTACACGTTAATCAGTTAACTATTTCATTCAAAATGATTTTGAGGTTGCTTATCTGGAGGATGTACATGCTGAGGCTAATTTTTCAACCTTTTTTTTTGTCTGAAGGAAATAGCAATTGATTTATACTGAAGAATTGCATAGCAGTTCTTAAAATGCGTTATTTAATGTCTTAGCATCTTTCTGGACGATAGGTAATGCAGTTGATAAGGTTGGTCCCCTTGTAAAAGTGCTTAATTTGGCTTCCACTCAGGCAGGCGGGTGCAGAGCCGTTGGAGATGGCAGGGGTATCTGGCTCCACTGAGCACTGGTGGAGCGGAGCTCCTGCAGAGGAGTTAGGGGTGGCCCCAYTTTTTTACCACCCCATATTTCCTTCTATAGCTACTCGTGTTAAATGCTTGAAGCTAAACAGTATGAATGCCCCTCGCCTGCTTCATTATAGTGTTTCTTTTCATTCTAATGTAATTTCAGCATTGGATAGCTCAGTTTACTAGCATTAGAAAGAAGTATAATGTCATTTGGGATATCTGCACTTCTTCAATTTACAAAACACTGCCTTCTAAAAACTCATTTCCAACAGTGAGTACCAAAATTAGGTTAAAATGTGTGTGGCTGTTAAGAATAATAAAATAAGATTCTTGCTCTGGTTGGTGATTACAGACTATATAACTATGACTGGTGGTTTGGTCTGCTAGCATTTATCTGACTATAGATTTGGAAAGTACAAGTATGGGGATTGCAGTCTGGAACAACTGATCTTGGAAACATTTGACAGAGTGAGGTTTTCTTGAGGTACTAGTTTCCTAATCAAAGGAATCGCTTCCACTCGTTGGTGCTGCCTCAGCGAGGTGCCRTGTGGCCTCCAATCCTTCCCAAGACTCCTGCTCTTCTGGGGGCATCGCAGGTACAGGAAAGCTCAGGTAAACTGCTGAAATAACAAAGCAGCATTTTCTACTTGACCTAGTACAGTTTGTCTTCCTCATCAGGTAATGTGCTGGCATCAACTGATTAGTTACCTAATAAAAATACTTAGTGTGTGTAGTATTTATAAGCTATGAAGACTTTAAATTGCAAATTCAGGAATATGTTTGTGAAGCAGTAGCTCTACTTTATGCCTTTAAGGGCAGGTTTATCTTGGAAAACATCAGTCTTTGTTGTTACATCACTCTCTTGTGCAGTGGTATTTTCTTTTGAGTGGCTCTTGGCTATCTGTGGGGGCCTGACAGGCCTTTTACAGAGAATAGTTCTTAAATGCTGCTGTTGGAAGCTGCTTTTGCAAAATCATTAAATTACATACTTTAATATTTTGCAAAAGCAGCTTCCAACAATCTTTTTAAGATAATCTCAATTTACATTCCTTTAAAGAAAATATAAAACTATATATAATTTAAAATTTTCCAATTTGTCTACTTAGAGGCTTCAGGCTCTTTAGAGAGGAGTTTTAAAATTTACTTGTAAAATGGTTAACTGAGTTTTTACAAAACTTAAAAACAAACTTGGTGGGTGAACTTAAGAAACAACAGGAAGGGAAACTATCTCAACTCACTATAGTGTGATGAAACTGAAATACTTTATATGCAGCTTTTTAGTCCTTATAAATAAATCATCTCATCCATTAAGCAGTCCTTCTAATGTGATTTTTTTTTTAAACTATGCAACCACAAACTGTTTTGTTGTTGTTGAATTTTGGCTCTGTATAGAAAGAGAATAAATCTCGAGCTGCCTTAGGTAACTTCAGCCAAGCACTGATGGAATCATTAAGACCACTGACACCAATATTCTCATATTTGCTAAGAGCAATATTTAGGTATTTTTTTTATTGAAAAATAGATGGGCAGCCAACTGTGCCGCTACAATGGCCAAGAGTCAACTGTGGTTTATTAAAATGAAGGCTGCCAGATTGTCAAAAGATCGCRCAGATGTTAGTGCTTTGCTGTGGGCAGCAGCAAGTTGGCTCCAGAAACTCGCAGGTCACCTCCACACTGCTGTCTGGCATAAAGCAGAAGAGACTTAGGAACCTCTTAAAGGTTTTTTGAGGAGCAACAACCAAGCACATGGAAAGAAAAATTCCTCTAACTGGCACTCAGTGATGAATAGGAAAGGGACAAGTAATTGGGAGGAATTGTTCATCTCCAAGCAGCTCTGCAAGATGGCACGTTCATACGTAGCTGTGACCCTGCTGCCATGTGGCTTTGCGGCCAGCGGGGACTGTTGAGGAACCACGGGCTCCTGGAACAGAGTTTCTCACTGGGGAGGATCGATGGGCACCGCAGGAAGAATGGGGAAAACAGCATGACACGTCTTCAGCTCTAAATGCTTTTGGCGTAGAATCTCTGACATACTCTTAATGCTTATTGTTTTATCACTTATGAAGCTATTATGTGTATTGCTGCTTTTGATTCAATTTTATTTAACTAAAGCTCAGGAGAATCATTCTGAAGGTCACAAGTTACTAGATTTTGTCAGGATGGTTATTGATGACTTTAAAAAGGCAAATTGAAACTTATTTATTTAAAGTTATATACATGCTTTCCAATACATGAAGTATATTATTTCCTGACTAAAAATTCTTTGACAACAGTTCATCTACTGTAGCAGAACTAGAACTGCATGTGCTATGAGATGGAGTTAGTAAAAGCAGTTCGCAGGAGACTGAGCACCTGAGCTGGGGTTACATTCAGAGCTATGAGTAAATGCAAACAGGGAGTTGGCCAGTGAATGTCATCTAAAGTTCATTGAGCTGTTCTGAAAAAGGAGCGAAAATCCGCCCTTATTTTTTCCATTTCCAGCTTTCTTTTTAATGAAAATGTAAAGCACCATCATTCCTTACACTGCATGGAAACTTTAGCTCTGGCTGTCTCAGTCCCATCTTGATCAAAGATTTTGTCTGCAGTCTCTACTACTTGCGTTTTTCCAAACCTTTATGTCTTTGTGTTGGGGACAGTGACTCTTTGTTTTTAGGTGGCCATCAAAAAATTATCTTTTTGTCCAGAGTGAAGAAATATTTACTCCTCTATTTCATAAATGGATAGTTTGTCTGGGTTTTTTGTAGACGTTAGTTCATCTGTTATATTTTCAGTATTATTTCTCAATATTACTACTTTACCCCTCAAATAAATCACTGGTTTCTTTTTCTCTCTGCCTTCACTGCCTTCATTCTTACTCCTTTCAGTTAGACCCAAACCACAGTCATGCTATTCCTCCTGCATCCTTACTGAGCCTCCATCCAATGACAATCTCTTCTAGCAACAAATTGCTGTTTCTTATTGATATGCTTTTTAATACTTCTGTTCATTTTAAGCTGTTTTGTTTCCCCAGAATCAATCAAATCCTATTTCAGATAAACACGAGAAGTTCATTAGCACAGTTTAGCCCTGAAGTTGCCCAGGTACTTTAAAAAGTATAAGTTTATGGCATAAATATCTGTTTGGCCCACTTTTAGCAGATGTAGTATTTTATTTTGATGACTGTGACAAGAACATTAGATAATTTAAGTGGTGCAAGATGAATTCTGTTCTTACACATTCATACTAAAGGGAGCAGGGACTAGCACGTGTAGAATTAAATAATGCGACAGGAATCAGCTCTACATTACCATGAATGAATTATGTTGAAAATATTCAAACTCAAAGTGATAAAGTTTTCTCTGCTGTCGCCACCATGCGCTTGTAGGGCACTCAGATAAGTATGTGAAATGGATGGCTGTGGATAGGGTGCCTTGTTCCCTGTTGGTGGGGAATCCCAGAGCTCCGATCAGCACCGCTTCCCTTGAGAGCGCGTCCGGGCACCGGGGCATGCTGGTGACCCAGCCTTGGACCGCGAGCAGCCTCTCACCCCGCTGGGGCTGCCTTTTCTTTCAACTCACGGCCAAGCGCTCCCGCTGCGTCACGCGGCTGCTGCTGCTCTGGGGGCCGGGCACACGTGTGTAGCTGACAGCTTTCTGTTTTCTTTCCTTCCTCCCTTACAGCTGCAGTATTGAAATACGAGAACAACGTTATGAATATCAGACAGTTCAACTGCTCCCCTCATCCCTACTGGCTTCCAAATTTCATGGATGTGTTTACCTGGTCCTTGCCATTTGTGGGTGAGAAAGGTACGTACCTTTGCTTTGCTCGTAGAAACTACAAGGTGGTTTGTTATTTGCTCTGTACATGTCCAAGTTTATCTGAAATGACATGAATAATTTGAAGACAGATCACTTGTCTTTGAGGATCAATCTGAAGAAACAGGCCTTGGTGAGGGCAAGCAATTACCACACTTTCCTATCTTTTATGATTTCCCCCTTTCAAGGACATGATATCATTGTTTCTGCTGTGGAAGTAGGTTTATGACATTGCCAGCCAGAGAAGAAACTTACAGAATAAAATTCTTGTGATTTGTTCATTTATAAGCTCTTTGGTATTCTCTTAGGTATTGTTTACTGCCTGAAGAGCATCCTATCAGAGTTTGTTACCTCAAGCTTATGTCCTTATCCAGCTGTCTCAATTAGCTGGCAATGCGTSGCTACAGACGTGGCGAGACTGGGGCTCGCTCTGGACAGCTGTGACTAGCACAGGCGGCTGGCAGAAGGGAAGAACCTGCCCCTCGGTCCTGGCTTTGCCCAGAGCTTGTGGTGCCTCATCCCGAGCGAGCAGAAGCCACCAAGGGCAGCTCATGTCTTACTGCACCATGAAGCTCTCAATGCTGCCTGAAACCAGCTCCATGCTAGGCATGGCAGGCACACAGGAGGCGGGAAAGGCCCTTCATCTGCCCTATCCAATGCATGCCTAGTGGCAAGCTGTCAAAACCTGAAGTCGTCTTTTTTTTTTTTTTTTTTTTTTTTTAAGGTCTGAGATGAAACTTGCTTTGATGCATCCATTGTAGCGTATTGCTGATATAGCAATTACTGCTAGAAAACTATAACAAGCTCTTAAAAGCTACTTAGAATAACAGTTCTCTCCTAATAGGCAACGTAAAGCATAGCCAGCTGTGACTCTTACCTGTAGTCCACTTTGTTTTCAGTTACTCCTTCCTACTAGGAAAGATGCCAGGAGAAACCTAAGGTCAGTGGGAATAAAACAGGTAGATGATAAAAAACACATCAACAAAGAATAGGCAGTTGTGCCCACTAATGGAGTTGTTGCATAATCCATGGTGATGCAGCTTGTAGACTTTTGTAAAGCAGGTAACACGTTTTCATCGTCTTAGGCCTAGATTCTTTTTTTTTTTTTTTAAATGAATGTGTTCTGTGAACATGGGTCTGAACGATGGGTTTCCCACAGGGGTTGTTCTCAGCAGAGGCTGTAGACCACACAGTAAGATTAAGCAAGCTCCTGGGATGATGAACACTTTCCTTCTTTACTTCTTTGTGACTTCCCAGTGGTCACTGTAGACAATAGCTTAGAAATTTTTAAGCCACAGAAGAGGAAAAGGAGGTGAAACCCATGTTTTCCCTTCCTCTGCAAAATAAACCTCAAGGGAATAGGAGGTGGTGCTCTACACGGCTTTTGATTTATTTCTTTTTTTTATAGACTTTTGCCCTCAAAGGCCATCCAAGGTAGGAAGCTATTAGTTACACTGGTCATTGGTAGCGTGGAAAGTCTTTCCACTAATACTGTTATAGGAAAATATTAAATCCTTCACTAATTTAGGAAAAACATAATTTTGTCCCACCCACTTAATTTACCAAACCATCACTTTTGTCACAGAAGATTTTAACCACCACTTGATTTTAAAATTTACACTTTCAGCCTGTGTAGCTGCTGCAAGATTAGATGTGCTTGGTAACCCTTTTAATGATGCTTATTACATGTAGATGTAGTCAAGTTTTTAATCTGTCTGCTAATGATTTCACATTTTTACCTCTTAACTTTGACTTTTTTGAACTCTAAATTCCACTTTCTTGGTTGTGATTTTGGCAGTGTGGGGGAGGTCGGCTGTACTTGTACTATGTGTCTCCAATTAGTTTCCCACTGTTGCCTTTTCCAAAAAGGGCTGGTGCCAATTCAGGTGCAGCTTGAGGCTGAGCCTAGAGTGCACAAGTTGTGCAGTCAGCAAGCTGTACATATTAGAAGTGTAACTAAAATGACATTTCTATCCATATTATTTGCCCTGGATTTCAGGGGACACTAGCAATTTATATTCACCTCAGAAGGATTAAGCATTTGCTAAATTCAAAGTACAATATGCAAAATCTCAGTATAAATGAAGGTATTTTTGTGATCCCTTTTAAAACCTTTTCAATGGGAATATCAATCCTTTAATTTGCTACATAAGGAATTCATATGCTGCAGCAACGTGGCAGGAAGTGAAGAGTGGTCAATTCTGTTAACCACTTCTTTGTCCAAGTTAACTGAAAGGCAAAAATTTGTTTACAGGGAGAAAAAATGTTACCAAGTTGTCAGACATCTGCAGAAAGAGAAATCGTAAATGCATGATCAAGAAAAAAAAAGTTAGTTTGTTGTGGTGTTTGGTATTTTTGGATCAGCTGTTCATTAAAAGGTATGCAAACAGCCCTTTTGCCAAGTACACAGGATCTTCCAATTCAAGGTTGTATTGCTCCATGTATCAAGTGAGGTCCATGTTTAAAAACTGGTTGCCATTCCCATACTGCGTTTGCATTAACACTACTACACCTACAGTTTGCTCTTAGACAAACCTGTGAACCTCAATATCAACGTTGCATTTGTTTCCCATTCTAGTGACTGAGATGCTGGTCAACGTGCTGAATATCTGCTCCGATGATGAATTAGGGACAGAGGAAGATGGTTTTGATGGTAAGAACCTTCTCTCTTTGGTGGAGATGGTTTGCTTTGAAACTACTTTAAAAGTTTATTTACTAACCGTAGGATAATTCTCTGGATCCCATCTAAGTTCTGGGCTGCTCAAAGCAACTGTTGCGCTGAACTCCAGTGGATTTGCTTACTGCATGTTTTGGAAAGAATTAATGTAGCTTTTGCCCTGTTCTAACCCTAGCCAGAAATACAAGTCTCTTGCTGGTCTAGCTATATTTGATTTTGAAGAAAATGTATTTCCTTTCATTAAATTTGGGTTGTGTTGTCTTGAAGGGGTTAGCTGTTGATTTTTATGCATACTATCCCAGTGTTTCTTATGGAAAGCTTCACTGAATGGATGAAATAATTTGATTTGGAGTAATTACCTTTYCTGCAGCACTACTTCGAGGTGTGACTGCTACAACTTTGGAAGAACAATKCTTGAAATTTTATTTTGTTAATCTGAAAACTTTTAAAATGCAGCTGTGTATTTCAAAGTCTTTCAGAATCAATATAAATGTTAAAAAAAAAAAAATGTATGCAAAAACGGTTTCTGCTTTAGAAAGGAAGGGGAAAGAGTTCCACTTACGTTGTTACTTGATCTGGAATCTATAGGATAAGTCAGCTCATTCCTCGTACCTGCTGATTCCTTTGTATTGGATATTTTATCCTGCAGCCTGAAGCTTCTCAGAAGTACATTTATTCTGTTAGGCATTATTTTCTGTTATGACTGTATAAGAGTAAATTGCAGTTCTCCATAATCTTCTCAGTTGAACAGATTTGAACAAATCCCATGTGTTCCTAATGTTCTTACTGCAAATGTTTTCTGCATTAAAAGAAAAAAAGAGAGAAAGAACAAGAAATATAGTATGCTAAAAAAGTGTTTTGAAAAATACAGCATCACAAGGCAACCAGTGGAAATAATCTCGACATGTCTATGGGTAAAATGAAAGAAAGGAACAATGAAGAACTTTTCAGAATGACAAATATTTAATGAAATTGTAATTAGTAGCCAATAATTAAATGATTTTTAACCTTTAGAAAAGGACCTSTACCACAGATTTTTCCTATATGATGTAGGATGTAGATTATAGCACTTCTTATTTCCTCCAAAAAGGCAAACACAGGTCCCCTCCATTCTGTCAAGGCTACGGAGTGTGGACATGAACCATTATCTTGCAGGACTTGGTACAAAAGCTGAGTTTATTGAAACCAGTAATCAGTGCAGAGAAAACACCTGTTTGAATACTGAGCCCAGWTTTTCTCATGAAATTTAAATAAGTAGCTACTGTGTAATTAAAGCAATGTRTGAAACTGTATGGAGGCATACAATGAGTAAAAACTCTGTCAAATTAAGTACAGTAGCAAGAAACCTGCATGCTTGAAATCTCTGGTTCAAGCAAGCTCTTAAGCACAGGCTGAAACACCACTGAGTACAATGAGGAGGGTTTTTGAATGAGTTCAGCTTTGGCCTAATATTTTCACTTGAAGTTGTGCTGTAAACTTTCATAGACACTAAACAGAACACGCATGGGCTAATGCCAAACTTGTTGGACCTCTTTTCAYGTGATGGTGAGAGTGTTGGTGTTGCCATGCAGAAGCTACAGCAGTGTGTCTTCATGGTTGCAAATAGGTCACATCATCAGGGGTCTTTGACACTTTGTTCCTACAGCACCTACAAGATAACGATCTCTGGCTGTAAGAAGCCTGGGTGTTTTCTGTGCTGTGTGGGGGCGATGGAGCGGGACCCAGGCGGCCCCGGAGCTTCCGGGGGGGGGGCTGCCCGAGCAGGAATGCAGCCTCAAGTACTCTTCCCCACACGGCTCCGCGCTGCAGAGCTCTGTGCAGCAGCATTACAACTGCTGCATGAGGAGTGAATAAACAGTGCTGATTAGCACAGTGTTTAACTCCATGGTCTAACTGGACTCAGATTTTTCTGGATGAAGACTTTCCCTGGGGAAAACGTTGTGTTGAAGGAGGTGCTGGAAAGTTGCAGGAAGGTGGAGCTAAATCCAGATGTTGCACATATTGATGTCCACTGGTAGCTGTCCAGGGAGTCGACAACGCTGGTCCCCAACGTGCTCGGGGGTGCCCTCCTGCCTCCCACCCACTGGCAGCAGTGGGTTAGTGTGGATGGACACATTGAAGAGATTGAAGGATTCGGACATAAAAGCAGATTGGAGAGTTGATTAGAGAGAGGCTGATATTTAATGATTTCCTGTTGCCTTTGGAGTTATTAACTCTACTGTAAGGGAAAATCATCTCTCAGAGATAGCTCGATCCTCTCTCGCTTTTCTTATTTTTCTTAAAGCATTGCCTTTTTGGGGAGGGGGAATACAGGATATGTTTCTTTTGTGGTCTTCATGAAATAGAACTGATGATGATCAGTTTACAGCTGTTTCTGTAAAGGCTGTATATTGACAGCCTTGTAGTAGGTCAACATTGCTGTCATTTTTCTTAGCTAATTTTTGCCTAGCTCCTCTGGAGGACTGCGGAGCACAGTCATTTTGTCCACTGACATTTTTCTTTAGACTGATAGAAATGCCCGATATCTGCAACAGCAAGTGCCTTTTGTTTGATGAAATGATTCCCTTAAACTATCATTTCTCTTTGCATCATCTGTAGTTTTCAGGGCTTGCTGCTGATTTCCTTTCTCTCCTTGCAGTTTGAACATGCCCTGACCTGGGTGCCCACATGTAATGAGAATGATCCATCACTATGGTTTGCACTGATCATTCATTTGTTACCTTCTCTTTCACATTCTTGCCCTCTGTCTTCCCCTCTCACTTTTCCCTTCAAAACAAAACCCCATCAATACTGCCTGACCTCACTGCACGGTGTTCTTGTGAGCTGGTTTTTGATCTGTCCTGCATGTTACATGTAGCCCTGAGCAGGATGCTCGGCAGCATGTATTCTTTTTGTGTTTTTTTTTTTTTCTTGTTTTCTATTCCTTAAGGCAATAGCTTTGTGAGGAATCTGATCAATTTATTGTGGGCAATTTGTGTGCTTCAATGGGAGAGCACCTCAATAGCAACCATAGTGCCCTTTACCAACTCTCCTTGATGGCCTAAATTGGCCTTTTGGGTTTGCTTGCTTTAAAAATGAAAGGACAAAATATGTCAAGTTTTCTCATCTCTGATAATTTGCTCTTGTACTTTTTCTTTCCTGTTTGCTCTGGTGGTTGCAACATAATCTGATGCAGCAGAAATGTCTTGGGTGAACATTAGCTAGAGTGCTGTATGGTTTGTGCATCAGATGTATTGCTTAGCAACCCGAGCTGCAAATACTTCCATCACGCCAGCATACAGTCCTGTTGTATTTTAATTGGTAACGTTTCTGGCCTCGTGTTTGAAAAACTAAGCTGCTAATTAAAAGGGCGCAATAATACAATAGGCAACTTGACACACATGCTCTGCTTGCTTTGTATGTGTCACTATCATGATTTGGCATAAAGGGACTTCTTAATTACCTGCATCAGTTTTCCCACTGTCCTCACTGCGGTAGCACACAGTCTTCTCCTGGGAAAGCGATTGATGTAGTGCAGGTTGCAGCCATTCCTGCTCTCCTGAAGTACAGCTTCCTGGGGAAAGTGCTGCACTCTGACGCTAAACCAAATTACCGAGTCAAATAATGTCTCGCTGACCAAAACCTAGCTGCATGGTGAGCTSTAGCTTGTGAGTTTGGCCCCAGCTCTTCAGCACAACAGACTCTGCCTAGGGAGAGCTCTGCAGCAAGGAGCACAGAGACTGAGTTAGCAACAGCCAGGGCCCCTTCCTTAGGTGCTGCTCCCTCCCTGGCACCTTTGTGAGAGCATCCAGGTTTGTGGCTATGCAAGTGAGAGCGTTTTAGCTTTTAAATCACATAACTTGTAAAGAGGAGAGGAATGGGGGTTAATTTTCATAAGTTTGTTTTTCTACAAAACCAGCAAGGTGAGGCTGCAGTGCCTGCTTGCTCTCTGTTTTAATATGCTAAATATGCTAGTTTACTTTTCTTTTTGCCAGAGGAAGTTGTTTCTGTACCGCAAGTATTTCACGTTCCTCTGACACATGAACAGGTAGCATTCCCCAAAGGGGAGCCGTGATGCAACGGGGCCCGACCTCTGCAGCGCTGCACTTGTGCTGCTGTGAGGCTTAAAAATGCAGTCCCTGGCAAATGCACTGCCGTGGCCGCGCGCTGCCTGTGCGCTAGGTCACTCTGGCTGTTGCATGCGTGCAGGAATTGGAGGAAAGCACATGTGGGCTGTGCAATGCCGGCTTGGGAAGCAGCAGTGCCCGTGACTGTGACGATGGGCAGCTGTTGTCAGCGTATACAAACAAGCTGGAGAAATTGGCTTCTGATATTTGTGAGGAAAAGGTGTTGGCAGCTAGAGGTGCCCCAAGCAGAGTGGGGCGTGGAGGGCTCTTAGTTCAAAACAGCAGCAGATCCTGATTCAGCCCCTTCAGAGCAGTTTCAATGACATGGGCAAAAGCAGGTGCTGAAGGGGTGGCAGGCTGAGGCAGTGCGAGCTGCATGCTGGCTTCCTGCACAACCTACTAACAAGGCTTTAAGCTGAAAATCTTCTCTTTTTTTTTCTCTTTTTTTTTTCTTCCCATAGTTCTCCATCTGTTTCTTTCCTTTTGGATGTTCCCTACTTAATTTGTTTCTTTTCTGTTTTTCAGACTTTACTTAAGCATTGCGTTTCCRTTGATGTTGTCAAATGTTCTTTATTTTTTTTATTTTCATTCTACAACCGTCACTGATCTTTTTCTTTCCCCCTCCCTTTTGGAACCTTTAAGAAGATCCCATTTATGCACAGAAGAAAGGTATTTAAGTTAGGGCTTAAGTTTCATTAATTTGGCTTTGTATCACTTTGCTAATGCTTAACTACATCATATGTTATATATTAGGATACCATTGAGAGATTTTGTTTAGTTTCTTTACTCAGTACTATTATCCAGCCATTCATCCCTGCATCTTGGAATATTTTTCATTGTTCTGCTTCATAACCTGGATGTCTATATTACATAAGAAATCCTATTAGAATTCTGTCCAGCTTGCAAGATGCTACAAATCCAAAATTCAGGAAAAGGTGTTAAATTGCTTAAGAAGTAAGATGTAGAGCTTTTCTTGCCCATTTCTCTAAGTAATGTCTCCTCCAAATTGAACTACAGTTGTTTTTTTTTTTTTTTTTAATTTTAAGTTCTTATCATGCAAGTATGGTTTAAGATATTGAAAGAAAAAAAATGAGGGATATAAGGCATTATTTGCAAAGGCTAAATTGAATCATTTTATTGCTAGCYGTTTCTTTGGCTGTGACCTATTTTTCTTGGACGTGAGCGTACRTTTAGGTGTAGCTGCTGTAATCCAGTAGCGCTCTGCAGTCGTGGTGAATTCCGCGGTGCTGACCGGAGCACTCGCAGTGCGAGCGAGAGCCGAGGGCTTGCGAAGGCGCAGGATTCAGTCCCAGGGCTCTTGACCAGCTCAGCCAGTCAGAGCCAAGATGGCAATATCTCAGTGTGAATATCAGGTCTTTGGGGAGATATTTACCTCAGTAATAAATCGTATTTCCAGTCTTTAATTCTTGGTTGTATCTTCAGGAAAATTAAATAGAGGCTGAAAGCAATCAACTTGACTTACAAGATCAGCTGAAGCAGTGTGGGCTTTTAAGAAAGGAACAGGGATAGTGAGACCTGAGAAAAAGTAAATGTGAGGAGTTTTGCTTCCAGAGGAGTGAAAACCACATTATATCTGCCTTGAGAATACAGCTCAGTGAGATTGCAGTAGCTGAGGCAGGAATATATCTTCTCTATTCCTAATCAAATTAATACTGTTTAATTTCATTTTTTTTCATTAAGCTTTTACTAATACAGTAAATAGAATCTAGCTACAGCTACCTTTTCTCTTGCTCTTGATTGTTCAGAATTATGAATTTATGCCAAGGATGAGCATTTGAAAGATATCCTTGTGAGCAGAGCTTCTTCCAGTCTGAGCTTAAAGATAGAGGCTTGATCGCTGGACGGATTGAGGGGCAAATAGAAATGCCTGGAAATAATGCATCGTATTTGATTAGGCAAATTCTACATGCTTGATTATAAGAAATCAAGGTTCTGCTCCCAACCTGCACAAAAATCTAGCAGTAGCCACGCACGCAGGTAGCGCCCTTTGCATGTGCTGCTGCSGGTGCCCTGCCAGTGCCTGGCAGGCTCACAGCTCGAAGCTGTGAAGCTGATAAAAACCCATCCCCAGCACCGTTTGGGATTAAACTTAAGCTACGCGAGTATTACATGTTGCAGTGAAAGTCRTCCTTGGTTTTTTATGTAATTACCTGTGATATTTGTTCTTTGCTTGCTTTTGAAGAGCTGTAGGATTTAGGAGTTGAGTTTATTTTCAGTTTTGAAACTTCCGAGGAGGAAGATTGTTTTGAAAGCAAAGCCCAGAAAAAAAACATACATGCATTTCACCTTATCTGAAATGCTAGATGGCAGCCAAGGCACCTGTTCACCTGTGAAACAGGGTGAAGTGGTCACGGGGTTCCCAGCAGTTGTCTCGGACTGTCACAGGTTTCACTGCAATAGAGATGTGCAGCAGCAGGGCRAGTAGCGGCGCTGGCCATGGGAGCTTGGGCTGCTGCCAGCAGCAGAGGTGTGCGGGGAGCGGGAAGCGCAGAGGGAGCTCGCGGCCAGGACGGCGCCGCTCCCTGCGACCACGAGTAGCTGCCGCCGTGCCCACAAACTCACGCTGCTTTGCAAGAATCCATCRTTTTAGGGTTTATGATTAGTTAAATATATTTTTGAGAAGGATGGGGAGAATGCCTGCTAGGCCTGTCTTGGACCCAAATTTGTACCGTAGTCATTTTTTTTTTAAAATGAAATAAAATGTGTTTTCTCCACTTAAAATGATGAGATCTGGCAATCAATTTTAACTGTTGCGTCAAAAAAATTATAGAATGCAGATTTTTAGTGGTTCAGACGTTCATGTTGAATATCTTTCTTTGCATTTTATCTAATTAAAAAGAACTTATTTTCAATAGCCTATCATCTCTGAACATATTTTATTAAATGCAAAATTGGATTACATTGGTGAAAAAATGTTGTTTTAATGTGTAGCAGAAAAAGGATCATATCTCTCCAGGCACCATTAATTAGCATGTTCAAAAGCAGTGAAAGAATCTTGGACTATATATAAAGAATTAATGTTTGGGGTCTTAACTGCAGATACGGCTTAGTTTGGCAAACTGTATAGTACCAATGTGGTGTTTCTTATATATAGTTAAATCATTGTATTCAGACTTTAAGTCACTGTAACTGTTTTAATGTCTTTTCCATAGGAGCAACAGCTGCAGCTCGAAAGGAGGTTATAAGAAACAAGATAAGAGCAATAGGAAAAATGGCTAGAGTTTTCTCAGTGCTAAGGTAAGGTTTTTGTTGTTTTGAATGGTAATTTTATGTTAAAGGACTTTTTTTTCTTACGTTAAAGGAAATCTTTTAAAGATTACTAAGAGCGTTCTACTGCAAGTTGAACAGCAAACATTTGATATTTTAATATATCACCTAATCACCTTTTCAAATATGTCACCCTAGAACCTTTCCAAAGGTCGTTTTATTTCTACCATGCTGCTATTTATTACAACTCTGAATAATTTCACCCGGTGCTTTTGGCGAACTTGCMGCTAAAAAGCAAACAAAAACACCAGCAAAGAAACTGACTGTTAAGAAAGCCTTTTGCTCTCCAGCAGTGTAAATTAAGCATGTTAGCCACTGAGAGGCAACAGTTCCATGTAGGGAATGAGCATGTTCAGCGTAATATCCCATTAAAAAGGCAGCCAGCTGTCTAGCTTCATCACCTATGGTTGTTGCTGCATCCATGAGTAATGATGATTAAAGATAAAAGCATTAGGCTCATTTAACTAAAACTTGAGCAAATCAATGCAAACAGCAACTGGTTACCTCGGTTTGCACTCCCCCAGACACAGGAACCCCAGTAACTCATTGCTACTTGATGTTTAGGCCTTCCCATTTGCTGTCTTTAAGACTAGAAAGCGTTCCTGTGCTGTGCTGCAGTGACGGCTGCACAGAGAAAATAGGTTTTCTTTCCCCATAATAGAAGAGTTATTTTGTTTTTCCAGGAAATTGTACGCTCCTCTGCTATAGTCATGGTTATTATATAGTCATGTTATAGTAGGGTTATTACAGTGGGTCCAAAACATTTTTAAGTTTGCTTATTTGTGTATTTTTTCTCTTTGTGGGCTTTTTTTATGTTGATTTTGATACTGATTTTTTGATATTGATATAATTACTCGAAGGATGCTATTTTAATTTCAGCCAAAACTCCCAAATTTGCTCAATGAGAGACTGTTTTGCAATGTGCAAGCAGTAGGCAGGTTATCAGTGGGGCTTGCAAGGGCACAGCAGTTGGCCCCCGYGTTGCAGATGCAGCAGCATAGTTCCATGTCTCGCACCAAGGTGACAGACTTCATGCCTGGGGTTCCCCAGTGTTGCATGTAAATTGCTGGAGATGTAAGCACTAATTCAAAGTGATACCTGTATTAAATAAAAAGTTAGATTTAATGCATTTCTCTGAAGTAGAGGGAGGAGCAATCAGATGTTTCTACCTGCTCCCCTGTGTTGTCTGGCGTGGAGCCTGAGGCTGACATTGCCACCACCTTCATGAAACAGCACGATTATTTTCTCTAATGGTAGTCGAGCAAACAAAGCTGGGGAGCTCTGGCTTTCTCCCATAACCTTCAACTGCAGGTTCTGGATCTACTGTATTTTGCTGTGAAACATGGTTTGGAGAGCAGGATGAACTGACTGAAAGCTGGATTTAGAATGTACAAAAGGGCCTCAAACTGGATGCTCAGCTGATGGTTTTTTGCTTTTGATAACTTGCAAGCAACTCATGTCACAAATAYGTCAGAAACTTTTGAAAGGAACTATGGGGCCAGGCTTTTCAATGTTTTCAGGGAAGAGACAAGGCTACAGCATCATTTTTGTGTGTGTCCAGCTTTAGGTGATATATATGAGCCTGGTGCCTTAGGCTTTAGTACTGTCTGAACACTGGAGCCCTCTTCAATTACCTTAGGAAAATCAGAGTATTGAGGCACTGATGAAAATCTTGATCTTTCGCTGAAGGGAGGTCAAACTGTTTGAGAGTGTTGGTTTGAATTTGTTTGTTTCTTTGTTCAGCTTTGTTTCTTGCTGCTGCTGTATGCATCCCAACATCTCCCAAAGACCAGAACGTACTGTGTCAGGTAGTGGTTCCCTTGCTCAAGCCGTTACTGATGTTKCATACTGATGGCTTTAGGACTTTGGAAGGAGGAGAGCAGATAAGGGCTGTTCCTTTGCTCTCYCCTCACATTAGGCAGCAAACACAATGCATCCTTGCTGCGGTCAGGGGCAGAGTCAGCACATCAGCAGGTAGCTCCACAGGGCAGTTCTGCTGACGAGTTTCCCAGTGGGATGAACATGTCATAGCAGCTCTGGGCCAGTGACCCTGTTCAGGTACTTCTCCCCCTCTTGCTGTGACAACTTGGTTGTTCATAGCTAAATGCCAGACTGCTGGCAGCCAAGATTACATGAGGATTAGAATCTTGCAAGTAGCATCCCTGTAAAATGGCCTGGATTATTTTTTAAGCCTTTGCTAGCAAAATCTCCATTTAATATACATGTATCTGATAYCTGGTTATAACCATGAAAAAGCCTGCAGTGGCAAAACGAGCCTATTTCAGAAATTTTTTTCTTGTTTTGGTGTGAAACTTATTCCACTGCTAATGGAAAAGTTTCTCCAAACAWGCAATGCCCACTCACATCACAGTCAAAGGATTCAGTTAAGTGGCTATTCTCTAAGCCATGATGGCCGCCTTCCTGTAAGTAATTTTAAACTTGTATCTGTGCAATCATTTTGACTACTCGAATCTCAAAATTAGATGGCAAAATATCCTTGTATTCAATTTCAAAGGTTATAAATAAACTTTGCCAAGGAAAAGTCATCATAGAAATAACAGCTTAAGTTCAGTGGAAGACTGTCTCTCTGTGACCTTGTACTCTTTAATCTGACTTTCCTCTGAATTTATTTAAGCAGCCAGGAGGTAAATAAAATATCTAATCAGTTAAATAAGGGCATAAGAGAGATTAAATAAGAAGTAAATAACATGAAAGGCTAAAAATATCAGAATTTGTGATAGAGAAGGTTTTCAGGGACACATCTCTTAAAGAAAAAGTTCGGCAATGTAAACATTTGCTATGAAGGCAAAGCAATAAACGCAATTGCAATTTAGTTTGAGAGAAGAAATAGACTCAACTGAAAATGTGAATTATGCACTCGCAGAGGCAAATAATCAGGAGAAGGCAAAAACTTTGGGATGTAATATTGTTTAGTGGGGCRGAAATGCTGTGTTAATTCTGGAAAAACTTGGCTGTTGCATTCATTCTAATGGCTTGAAAAGCTTTAAAGAAGAACAGACAGAGAAACTGATCTTAACTTTTACAGAAAAGTTACATGTACAGGAAGATTTATTATCAAACTAAAAATAACTTGAGTATACAGAGTGAGTAAACAAGAACTGTTTGAAATACATGAGTAATTCAGGGCATGGAGTCTTCAAGAAAATTGAATGTACTAGAATTGTTGATGGACGATTTTGATAGAACCACAGTAGCATCAAGCAAATGCAGAACTAAATTCTGTCTTTGTGTTTGCTTCCTCTAGCTTAATGACATTATACATTTCAAAGTAAAATGCTTCAAAATAGGCTTCTCCTAGAGAATTGGGGTCAATTTTGCTGCTGAGAAAGTATGTCATCAGAGACAGCACTGTAGAGCTCATGGAAAGCTGTATTTAACTTCTCATTTGGATAGAGCTGTGATATTCTTGTTCACATATATTAGAAAATACGTATATTTGGACAACTGCAAAATATATATAGGCTTCCTAAACTCTTTTCCTTGATCAGTATCACTTTCAGCATACAGAAAAGATGTAGAAAAAAATGCTTCAATAACATGTGGAGTGAAATTACTTATTAATTTGAATGAGCTTTTTATTTTAGGTGTTTTTTTTTTTTTGTGGCTGATGATCAATAATAAATGATGCTTCTGACTATTAGTGTAGACAAAAACAAGACAACAGTTGAAGTGTGGTTTTGCTCACATTGTWTGAGGTAGATCTGAATGTGTGACTGGCAGGTACTGCTCCCTTGRCCTTCCTTCTTCCATGGTTTTGGTTTTGGCACTGAAGGCAAGTCCGTGTATTTGCATACATCATTTCATATGGCCAGGGTTGGAGTATTTTTATACCGGGAGTCTGGGTGTTGTATGGTGCCCTGGTGAGCTACCTACATGGAGGAGAAAATACGCTGTGTACACTGTGGGGAAGAYTGTGCTGTGTGCATCACCCCTTGGCTAGGAAAGGCATTGAAAAGAACCCAAACACTGCAGGACAGATGCAACTGAAAATGTCTAGAATATTGTCCATGTTAAAAGAAAATAAACTAAAAGACAAAAAAAGATTTACCTTTTTTCCCCTTTTCTCCCTGCCCTTACAGAGAAGAGAGTGAAAGCGTGCTGACACTGAAGGGCTTGACTCCAACAGGGATGCTGCCCAGTGGTGTGCTCTCTGGAGGGAAACAAACACTGCAAAGCGGTAAGCATGTCTGCCTGTGTGTGACATGGTGTGTGGAAAACAAAAATGACTTTTTAACTGCAGAAACCAAGAAAAATAACCACAGTCTACTCAGAGAAAATAAATAAAATGAAGCACAGAGTAAAACAGATGGTTTGTTGTACTTGAGCATTTGTGAGCAGTTCATGTAAGGCCACTTCCCGAGAGTCTTTACGTACCACTGATTTTTTTTTTTTTCTGGRAAAAGAAGAAAAATTCCTGAAAATCAACTGTTAGGAATGGTGGATCAGCATCACAAGTGACTCTTCCACAATTTAGTGTCATCTTTTATTATGTSTTTTAAGACCAACTTTTGATGCACTGAGTGCTGAAGATTCAGCTTAGATAATGACACTCAAACTCTTATCTGATTTGTTCTTCCCCTTAGAGACTCACTAATAAAAATAGTTCAAGGAGTAGTTTTTATCTGTAGTGAATCTATGTGACAGCATGAGAAKAATTTCACGTTCTGATTTAAGCCAAAGTGAAGGAAAGTTCTAACAAACACTGTTTCTGCCTTGTACACAAACACAATACAGATTGTCAGCTCAGTTTTATACCAAATGCTTTTTGTTACAGGAAATCCATAAGTTGATAATAAGGCTGTCTTTGATAAAATATTCCTCTTGGAATAAGGAGCTGCAAAGTATTTAATTTACTACTATAATCTCTTTCTTTAATATGTACATTGCTGTAGAATATATACTAGGCACATAAGAGTGTCTTAAACTTACCATAGTTCTCTTGTCAGTACATATGAGAAATAGAATTGTGTTTATATTCTTAACAGTCTCAGCCTCTTCCCTGTTTCCTTCCTAGAGTACTCTTTCTCTGTATTTTTTTTTTCCCTTTATTGTCTCTTTTCTCGTATCTAGAAGATTCAGGTATTCTTTGGTAAACCTTTTCCCATATTTTCCTTCTCTTTTTCCTTTTGAATGACTTGTGTGTTCCGCACCTAGTAACGCTCTGTTTGGAAAATGCTGCAATATGATTCCACAGGYTGCCTCCCTTCAAGGGGCTGGGGTCTCATCTAGCCTCTGCTCAGTATTGTTTCCTTAGATTTGTCAGAAAATTTGGTCCAAAGAATATCTGCTGTTGCTGCCCTGGCAAAATACTGGGGAATTAAATTAAGTTTTAGAATACTGGCAAAAGTTCTTGCTACAGCAGTTAAAAGGAAAATCTCCTCATACTGCAGTATTCCGGCTTAGTAAAACATCTCTATATACAGGCTTCTGTATCAGTTGACACATAGTACACCATTCAGCATATAATCTGGAATTTGCATAGTTTCTGTTAAGCACATGTTCTCACTATTGCATTAACAGAAAATATGACTGGTATGTTCTATGGCAGTACCCATTCTAGTCTTTCTTTTTTGTTGTTGTTGTTTTTTTCCTCTCATGTGTCAGTGCTGGTTTGGATCTGGTTACTCATGTTCTTTTCTTCATTGTAGTTACTGTGATTTCTTTTATTTTGAGTTCACGTTGGTTTAGTTCCTTAATTCTGCCATCTCTCTTGCTGTGTGGCTCGAGAGCCATATGCTTACCTTGTGCATGTGGACTTTCTTCTCCATTTTGCCCATGCAGCAAGATGATTGTGTACCTCTTCTACTGTTGACTCAATCCATATTTAACATCCTAATTAAAAAAAAGACAAAAGACTAGTTTGGCTTTATGGAAGACAGAAAAATTTCTACACTGAGGGAAATAAAGAAAAAGAAAAGGTGAATTCCCAAAAGTTTTGCTTTTTGACTTACTCTCTAAATGAGTGGAGTTCTTGGAAATCAAAATACTTCTTAAATATTGGACCTGTCATTGCTATATGAGATTGTATTTGCTGATTGGTTTCAGCTTCCTAATATCCAGCAGCAGAATTAAATTCAAGTCAAACCTCCTGGGTAGCATTTGAATGCAGATGGTGTTTTAAAGATCAATGATTTCAAGACAGGGGTGAAATACAGTTTGCTCATAGCACTGCAGCAACCTTCTGATAAACTTTTCTCTCTCTGACCAGGCCTTGCAATTTTAGGGGCCCAGCAGCTTTCAGTTTTGAAACATGAAAAAACACTATTTAATTTTCAGAAATTGGGTTGTTGTAAAGGAGGTTTGCAATTGGAGCAGACTGAGCAAGCCTGCAAGCCGAGGACAAGTTGTCTGAGCAAATTCCCTCCCATGTTGCAGGGAGCTTTCTTTTCATGAGGAGAGAGAAAACATATTCCTGAAGTTGCACGTGTGGCATTTTTGCTGCTGTAGTGGCAGCAAATACTTTTCCAAGGTGACCTCTTCAGTCGTGTGATATTTTTTTTGGTGATGGCTTTGCCACTTTTCACTTTTAACAGTGCAAATGCAACTGCTTTTTTTAAATGCTGTGAGAATTATACAATAAATGTAGCAGATCAGATGTGCAATATGGAAGACATTTTCACTTGGTATTTTTTGAGTCAAAAGAAAAACATTCAAGTATGTCTTTAAGAGCTTTTGATATGTGAATCTTTCTGCTTCAAAACAAATGTTAGCTTAATTCAATCTGCAGATTATTGTTTTGTGTAGCATTTCTGTGTGTGTCTGTTTTGCCAAAATCCAGCACTTACAGTAACATTAGTGTATTAGCTCCTTTGCTATTCACTGACTTGTTCTTAGACTTAAAATCCTCTGCTCATTTTCTCATTCGTTTTGCTACCCCTTTCTTCTCTTCAGCTACTGTTGAGGCTATTGAGGCTGATGAAGGTAAATTGGCCAGTCCCCTTTCTGTTGCTCCTACAACAGATAAGGGCTCTGCTGGGTGTATTCATTTTGCTGTAGCTTGTACAGATTGTGTGGGTGTTGGGCTAACAATTGTGGCTCGGTATTAACCAAAATGTAATTGCTTTAAAGGGGAAATGTTTTGCTTTTTTTTTTTTTTTTTTTTTTTCCTGGTGATGGTGGTGTCTTTTTCCTTTCCTGAAAGTTGCAATCACCGCTGGAATTTGGGTACCTTGAAGCAGGCACTGAGCAGTGCACAGGCAGAGGTCAGGGGCTTTGCATTTCAAAGGACACAACGCAGCGGCGGCAGCAGCGAGTCAGCGCTCTGCCACGCAGCTCACGCTAAAGGCCAGGTCATTTTTCCGCCGCGAATCATTTTCAGCAATCCCTGGTGTTGAAAAGCACACAGCTTTGATAAACATTCCCTTTTTTTTTCCTTTTTTTTTTGGTGGTGTTTTTTATCCTTCAGTTTTTCCTTTTTTTTTTTTTTCCTCCTCTTGTAGGCCACTAGTAAAAAATTCTTAGCGGTCTTTTGTTGCAGTTCAGCATGTTTATGTTTCTCTTTAAAAGTAAAACATGAGACATTTGTCTGTAAGCTGTCTGTTTCCTCTGGTAGTGGCAGTTTACACACTGGGTATTTACATTAGAGCAACCATTAACATCACCATTTAAGCTACAAATGTAAAGTGACTGGCTGCCTCAGAAGAGTTGGAATGACTAGTGCTTAGAGTGGGCATTGATAGACTTCCAATTGAAGCAATTTTTTATCTATGTTAAGAAGTGAGCAATAACATGTTGCACTATAGAAGTAAAATATTCAGTATTCTAAAGTTTTGGAAGAAGAATTTTCAGAATTCCCCTTTAAAACAAAATTCTTCAGTTGTATTTTGTTCTTGCCCCTATCAAATTTCCTGAAGGAATTTTTTAGTTAATTTAAGAAAAAAAAAATCTCATGATCGCTGTCCGTTGGTGAGATGTGCCCTTTTGGCCAGCTGAAATTGTTTTGATTTTTTTGCAAGGCAGTGATTAAAACTGTAAACAAATAAGTAAGAGAAAATACAACTGCTTTCTAAATAGCAGTGAGTAAGCTGCTATTTATGTTGGAATTATCTATTCCTCTTGGCAATCTCTAATCTGCAGTGTGCATTCTCGTTGACAGTTTGGCTGTTTTCTGTGACTTTCTGTGACTGTGTTGTGTTCAGTAGACTCTCAATGTAAACTGCTAATACTCGTTGTCTGACCAGCAACTACAGCAGAGCACCTTCTTCAGTATTACAGATTATATATAATGTGTCTGCTCGAAATGCAACCGATTGACCGTGACCCCTTCCAGCAATATTCCCTTGTCCAGTGAATCCTTGGTTGGCCATCGCCTCTAGTTAGACCCGGTAGCCCCCGTGGCGGCGGCAGGTCCGTGCGGACCCAGCTAAGGATGGACAAAACGTTGCTTCCTTTTCCAGCTGCYGCTGGCACCAGCCACTCGGTGCTGCCCGTTCAGCTGCTGCCTTAAGGGACTGGTTGGGGTGCGTGTCAGACACCTCCGCTTCCACGGTGGAGCGTAAAGGGGGAAGGCCGGGAACGCCAAGGGAAGCACCTTTCTGTAGGGCCTGTCCTGTTTTCTCTGCTCCATCCCTGCTCACCTGACTAATCACCGTCCTGTTGTGGGTATTTTCCTGAGTTGAAGCAACGGGTGTTTAGAGACATGTTCCAAGATAACCGTGGTGAAACTGCTTAAGGAAATAAATCCTGGGGCAAAACGTGATCTGACCACTTTCAGACAAATCATGGTTAGAATATCGGCATGAAAAGGCTTTTCTCACTCCTCATAAAATGCAGAGAGTGGCAGATTGGTACTGGGGATGAGTTTTGGGTTTGTTTGTTTTGTTTTTAACAGAAGTGTAAACTTGTCCAGAATGGAGGAGGACTTTGGGGTAGAGAGGAGATAAAGGGAGGGAAGGAATCCCGAATCTGATCTTTGAAACTCCCATACCATTTTCTCTCCAGGGAGTTTGCAGTTTCCTGATACTAACAGACTATTTCTATTTGATGGCATGTTAAGATAGAGGCATAACAGAAGTGTGGCCAGCGTCCTGGGAGTGCAGGAGGAGGATTTGGTGTGTAGGTGAGAGAAAAAAGCACAGAAGGCTTTTGCGGGCTCTTGGAGTTGTGACCACCTCGCCTGCAGTGCATTTTTCTCTTTGGCTTTAAACCTGGCTTTAACATATTATGTTAAATCATTAAAGTAAAAATGTGCATATATATATATTTATATATATATATATATGGCATGCTCTTCAAATGTTTCCATGTTACAAATATGTGTCTGAGCCTGGGGCTGCCCTCCAAGACCTATGGGGCTGCCCTCCAAGACCCATGGGCCATTGTTAATGCTGTTGCTAAAAGGCAGTTCAAAATTCTTCACTTGGAACTTTGGTCCCTTGTTTTTCAATGCACTTTTCAAAGTTTAAAGGTATAAATGTGCCAGAACACCTTGTCTGTTGCCCTGCTTTACTGTTGTTGCATACGAGCTGCTTTCCCCCAGTCCATGGAGGTCAGGGAGGGCGACTGCCCTGAGGGAYGAGCGAGCGTCCCGTGTGCGATGGGGACATTGTAGCGCCATCCCAAACCRGACACATGGCGGCTTTGCCGTCTGCAGGTGGCCTGTGCTTTTGGCTTTCATGTGGTCTTTGAAAGTCAGCTGGGAGCTCTGCCAAACCACGCAAGACGACGCACAGTTTTTAAGGCTCTAAGTTCAGAGGTGATACCAACCTGGTGGCTCTTGGCCCCTAAGTGTTGTTCCTTGGGACAAACTCATGTTTTGCATCAGCCGCTTAGTATTTTAAGCTGAACCCCAGTAGAGAGCAAAGTATCAGAAGCTGATCTTGCTGAGAGAGAGAGAAAGAGAGAGAGAGAAATAGTTGGTTTGCAAGAGACTGGTGCTTAACCTCCAGCTCTTGCTGAACACGGTAAGGAGTCCGTCGTGTGGTCAGATTTTGCATTGCCCCCTTCTCAAAGAAGGGCTTTCTGGTGGCTAAGTTGGGGGAAAGACTGCCAATAATTTAAAGTTGCTAATTTTGCTTTTTAATAATCCTTTATTTAGCTATCAAAGGATTTTCACCCCAACATAAGATCACTAGCTTCGAAGAGGCCAAAGGCTTAGATCGAATTAATGAGCGAATGCCTCCGCGCAGAGATGTGCCCTCCGATGCCAACCTTAACTCCATCAACAAGGCAATCTCCACAGAGACTAATGGCACTGACAGCAACGGCAGTAATAGCAGCAATATCCAGTGACCACTGCCAGGGGAGGGGKGTTGAGCTGCAGGGCGCGACGGGGTTGCTGCACGGCAGCAGTTGGATGTTCTTGCCTCTGATCCTAGCTTTCTTGCTCTGGGGGCCAGGTGTTGGATTCCGTTTACAAAATCATCTATGAAGAGATCGCAACCTTTATTTTGGTGGGAGGGGGGTGGGGGATCGACACCTCCTTTGGATATGCCTTTAAAATGCTTGTAGAAAAATGAAAGCTAATGCTGGTATATATTGCAAAGTTAGGGGAATGAACATGTTTTCCTACTGCATTGGGATCTTCTAGATATGTTAATGAAAGGCCTTTTATTATGTTACTGGACATGAAAACTTTGTTTAATTTCTTACTAACTATTGTACGTTTACAGTTGCACCACTAAACATGGACAACATCAAAACATTTTTAACAAAGTGTACAAACTAAATAAGGACTATTTATTGATAATGTTTTGCTACTCTTGTCAGACAATGGCTATGATATAAATTAGGCAGTCTTTAAAAATATAGAAAAAAAAGAAAAAAAAAGAATGTTGGAAATTTGTTTRAAATGCCAAAAAAAAAAAAGAGAGAGTGAGCGAGAGAGAGAATTTAATTTTGTACAGATTATGCTTACCTCAGGTTTCTTTAGTGTGCTTCAATGCCCTTCTTTAAATATAACACTTATCTTACTAATTTGGCAGCGATTATCCTTTTCTTTGTTTAAACAAAAACTGGAATAATTATAACATTTATCTTTTTTTGCTGTTTATATTTAGGGGGGTTTGGTTTGGGGGGGTTTCTGGGTTTTTTTGGTAAATCAAGTCTTGGTTGTGGCTTGCTGAATTTAAATATTTATGAGTGGTGCATTTTTAAGTATAGTGAACAAGACACCATATTAAGTGCAGTGAAAAGCATCTATATTCTGTAAAAATCTGCCTATGCATGTTTTTTAAGAAACAAAAATGGCTGTATAGGCCTGTATGGGACTGTAATGCGCTTAGTGGTCTGACTTATACTGGAAATGTATGTATACTGGCGTACTTTATATTCTCTAAAAAAAATGCTTAATGCCTTTGAAATTTTGTAATCAAAAAAAGCTTTGAAAAAATCTAAGGGGAGAGTATTCTTAAAGTTTTTAACATAAGCTTGTCAGTGCACATATAGATGGGTAGCATGTTTAGCAAACCTTGTGAAATTTAAATAAGTTTGTAGTTACATGTGGAATTCTAAATGCATGATAACTGTTAATGTCATAATGGTTTAGTCATTTTGTTCTGTTCTGTCATGTGCCACAAAATGTGTAATTTTTTCACTTTTTTCCCTTTGTATATCAGTTATGGGTTTCAACTGGTTCATTCGAAAAAGGAAAAAGAAACAAAACAGTCCATTGATATTTTTTAACAATTGTATAAGTGCCCAAGTAACTCACTACAGCCTACAGCCTTGCCTTTGTAATTTGACTTCGAAATGTTGGCAATCAAAGCATGCACTTGTAACAATGAAAGAAGCATTTTATATTACTACTCAATAAAAATGTGCATGAACTTGAGCGCTCTCCCCTTTCTTGGTGCCGCTGGTGCAGGCGCCTCGCGCAGCCACGCGCTCGCGCTCTCACACACGCACGTTTCTACCTGTTGGTTTGCAGAAGAGGAGCTCAGCCACGAGGAGGACAACACACCTGCTTCACAGCTCCAGGTCAGTCCTTTGCTAAGGAAAAATGTAGTTGTTGCCAAACTGTTCTAGGTTGCTTCATCTGCAAACTTCTCATATTTGTTTTGCCCCTCAAGTTCTGTTAGAGTTGCCTATTTTGTTGTTTATTTTCCTGAAATGAGCGGTATGTAGCCCAGAAATATAGAGCACACAAAAGCCTCTGTCCTCTGTGTTGTTCTCTCCCTCGCCAGGGGTGCCCTCTGCTTGAAAAGCGCCTTTTCCCCCCTTAACGTTGTTGCTCTTCCAGCAGAGCCTGAGACATGGTGTATTCGAGCACAGTAATTAGCATGGGCTGTTAACATCTGTTGTGTTGAACCAGTCATGCTGGGGGCAAATCAAGATAACAGACTTTTTTTTTTAAAGCAAAGAAGATTTGTAAACCTAAATTTACAGTAAGTATATAGACCTGGTAGAAATAGACTTCTCTGGCCATAGAAACAAAACTCAGGGCAGGAACGGGCTCACGCTCTTCCACTGGGGCTTGAGAATCCTGCGTGTGTAATTACAGCATGTGAGAGGCATCCCACAGACTGACCTTGGAAATGTTCTTAACCAGCTCTTCCTTCTCTTTCAAAAGGTAGATTAGCCTCATTTGTGAAGTTACTTGATGAAAAAGAAATCAGTGCTTTTTAGCATCAGATTTCAAGTGCTTTTTTTAGTTAAAGATGTGAAATATAAAAGCTGTGCACTTTTTTCTCATTTTCTCCCTAATTGTCCTCAGCATCCGTCCAGTCCATCCGCCTGTGAAGAACTGATGACAAATGCCCAGTGTTGTGGTGTCAGGGGTATTGCGTTAGTCCGCCTTGGAGGTAGCAGTATTAGCTGTCTATGTGGTGCCTCTCTTTCTGTGTTTTTCCCCTTTTAGCTCAGTTTCTTAATTTTGACAGAATATGAGTGGTGGCAAAATGCAGTGAATTTATATATCTAGGCCTAGAGAGCTAGATCAGTTTTAGGGGKTTTTTATTTTTAATCATGTAAAAATATAACATATGAAGGGGAGAGATGTGCAGAGTCTAACTAGTCATCTGATAACTGAAAATGGTCTCCACAAAAAGTAATGCTGAAAGTTGAACTGAGCATTTTATCTGCCTACGTGCTTGCTAGTGGAGGACCTGTAAGTTCTCCCGGTAAGTTGTTCTGCAGATGTGTCTGAGCTAGTGCCTCTTTGACACTCATTGTTATTGTCAATGGATAGTTGTCTGAAACCTCTGGAGGTTATGGATATTGGAGAAACCTAGCCGGCTAAATTGAGGTCAGGAAGCAGTGCTAAAAACAGCCACAGAAAAATGCTGCTTTTTAGCACATCTCCATATTCATTTGGGGGCAGCAGGAGGCTGGTGAAGCAATACAGTTCAGAGTGTAAATTTTTTTTTCTTTTTAAGAATAAATTCTAGGCTCAAAATGATTTTTGAAATTTATTTTAGTTCCCTAGGAATCTATTTCTTTTCTTTTTTCAAGATACTGTTACTCAGATTAGTCAGATCTATGAATCTTCCCACTTCTCTCTGAGAGGAATGTGAGAAACTGCTATTTCAAATGCTAAAAAATCATAAACACCAAAACAGGCATTTTGAAGATAGTTTGGAAATCCCTCTTAGTTGTTTTTGGGATGGTATCGGATTTCAGTTAAAATATACTGAAGTATATTTTTTGCACTTTAGGTTTTTAGTTATTCAAATACACTTTCAAATCTTATGTATTTTTAACATGAAAATACCAAGGACTGCGGCCACCTCCATGAAGGAGACAAGGTAGGATGACTTGATCAAGTTGGATGTAGGAGGGTAGTGGGGTATTTTGTTTTGTTTCTTCCTGTCTTGCTGAAATGTTTTGGTAAAACTTGGCGAGGACCGTGCTGGAGGAGCCCTTAGGYACTGCCGGCTGCTCGGCGGGCTTGGAGGCGGCAGCCTGGCCGCCCCTGTGCCCATGCGCAGCTGTGGGGTTTGCTGATGTCCCCCACGTCAGCGGGAGCCCCTCGTGGCTGCTTGGTGGAGGCTCRTGCCTGGGTAGCCAGTTGGTTGGTTAGTGCAGTCAGCAAAGCATGAGCAAGACAGGGGGATTTTACTCTCTGGCTGTGACTTTTTGATGCYTGGTTCATGCAGACTTTTGCCTTCAAGAAAGCTCATTTTTCTCAACTTACAGATAACTCGTGACTAATTTCAGGCAGCCCGAGGCCACAAGAGCCCCTCAGGTTGCAGAGTCACAGATGAGCTGCTGCTCACAGGCTCTGGAGACCCCCCTGGTCCAGTTCCCTGCTCAGGCAGGGCCGGCTAGGGCTGCCTGCCCAGGACTCTGGCTGGGTTTCAGCTTCAGGAATGGAGACTCCACAGTGTCTCTGGACTGCTGTTCAGYGTTCAACCACCTTCACAGGTTTTGGGGTTTTGTTTTAATGCTTAAATGTGAATCTCTGTTTCAGTTTGTGCCAATTGGCTCTTGCCCTCTCAGTGGGCACTGCTGAGCTGAATCCGATTCACAGTTGTCTTTACAGATATTCAAATTTATTACAGAATTGCAGCCATTATCAGGATATCAAATAAATGAGAGATCTTGTGCSTCCTTGGGGATGGAGAGGTAACTTTCTTTCCCTGAGGAACAGGTAATTTGTTTATCTGCTGCTTGCTGGGTTATTGGTTTCTGTACGTACTTAATAGACTTTGTGCTTGGACTGCAGTTTTTTATGATGAGACGAAAGTGGACACCGGAGATGGAGCTGCCACTGCACGAGCTTCAACAAGGCTACAGAGCAGGTATTGAGGCAAAAGACTGAGGAGCCCTGCAGCCCTGGAGCAGGGAGCCAGAGGAAGGACACAGATGAGGGGCGGAGGTGGCGAGAGACTGTGGGGTGTTTATTTCAAGTGCAGTTTGTAAGGCTGGGTCAGCAGTGAACTCACAGGAGGATAAGTTGGGAAATAATATGGGCAGCAAAAGCTTTTGTGGTGCCTAATGAGAAGTGCTGGCAATGTCCCAGAAGTTGTGATTAATAAATGATAATACTAAGAGTTCCTGAAGAGGTATGAGGAAAAGGGAAGAGGGGGATCAGCTCCAAGTGGGGAAAAAGCGAGGGGGTATCATGGCCTTGTCAGCTTCCATGTGGCTTTCTGGTTGCAGAAAAATAATGGTCAGTTTTCTTCAGCTCCTAGCAAGCAGCTTCTCCTGTCCCTTTCACCTCCACAGCTTTTTCTTGCAAGGGGTGATTTATGCTCTCCCTTTCACAGGGAAATACCAGCCAAACCTGCACATCCTGGGAGCATGGCCAGGTACTGACATGGCAGCATTTCCTTCTACCAAGTTAAAGGCAGAGATAAGCACCCCTCTCCGAGAGCTCTTGACTCGTGAACGCTCTGGGGAGGGAAGGGGGATTCCCATCCCAGAAAGCCCCAGGCAGGGAAGCCGCAGCAAAGCAGTGCCGGGAGACTGGAGCCCGTGTGGGAGATGCACAGGTCCTGCTTGGGATGGAAGCAGTGGAGGGCTGCTTTCCTTCCCAGAGGAGTTGGAAGGCCCTTGGTCCCGCCAGGACYGCGAGGCTGCTGTGGGCACCAGGGCACCGGCCACCCCTAGAGCTGCTGCCAGGCTCTTTGGGCTCCGCCGGGCAGGGACTGTCCTGTTTTTACAGTACTTCAGGAGGCACAGGGAGGCCTCTCTTGCATCCAGTGTTAATTCCTGACCTGGACGTGCTGATTTTGAAAGAGTGCAGTGCCTGAATGTGTAGGCAGGTCTTAATGACTCATCTGGCATTTCTTGATGTTGCCTTCCCAGGACCTGCGGCAGCTAAATTGGATCTGAATGCAGTGTTTGAGACGGGACTTGCAGGATTGTCGCTGCTAATGGCCATTGGTGGCTAAACAATAGGGAAAGAGCAAGGTTATCGGCTTGTAGACTGCTGTGCATTCCTCAGCACATCCTCCTTTTTCCCTTAAACCCTAGACCACCCAGAGGTTAGTCAGCTGCTCTGATCTCTCCTTTGTGAGACATTTCTGGCCTTTCCCAGTCGCAAAGGCACTTGTAAAGAGGTGAACCTTAAAGATGAGAAAGCCAGAAGACAGTGAATTGCAAGAGCTCATTTGCAACACGCAGTGATTTTGAGTGCTGCACCTTAGAGCCAAGAGCCCCTCAGGCTGGAGGGTTTTGCCCATCTCAGACTCATGCCACGACACTGGCACCCGCTGGCTGTAGGGAACCTGGGCCACGGTAAGAGCTTAGCTGACCAATTAAAAACTTCTTCAAGGCTGAACGGTTTGTGAAGGCAAAGGGCTTTCCACGTGGCACTGCTCTGATAATTAACACGAGCAGTCAGTTCTTCCACAGGCTCATTTCTTCTCAGGCAGTTCTTGTATTTTCCTGTCAGTGCCAAAGACATTTGTGTGCCAAAGAGCTACAGAGCGACTCAGACAGCCGTGTCGAAGAGATGTAGGGAGACCAAATAATTAACCTCGTAGGGGCAATGCAGGTTTCTTCTGCTGCTGACCGCTTCATTGCAGTAAGACCCCGGTGTCCCGGTGGCTGCCTCTGCCTTCCTCAGAAGTGGCCGCCTCAGGTTTTCGGGCTTGAGCAGTTTCCCTTGCACAACGTACCAAGTGTCACTCCTGTGCCTTGCCAC